TTTGTTAGTTCATATGAATATGATTATAATGTGCATTCTCATGTGAAATATCCATAGCAACAAAAACAGTGTTGTTATATGATAGTAGGTATAATGTTACAGTGGGTGTATCAACAGTATATACATGTTATTTCTAGCCTGAAGTTGTTACTATAATTAGATACTTCATGCTATTTTAAGCATTGCTGATGTGGCAGGAAGTTATGCAATGCTACTATTTTTAGGTAATTTTTCTAAATTTAGATACAGGAAGCAGCATGTTTTAGAAAATCCCCAGGGAGAGTACCTTGGAAATCCCCAGGTATCTGGGAAAGTACCTGGGAAATCCCCAGGTCCAGGGAAAGTACCTTGGAAATCCCCAGATCCAGGGAAAATACCTGGGAAAGTACCTGGGAAATCCTCTTCAATGACTGAAGCCTATAAAAAGGCAAACAACTAAGGGTAGACTCAGTCTCACTAGACTGTAGATCTATACAAAAGTTTAGTGTAGTTGAGGAAACATGAATCCCTTTGGCTTTGTCTGTACATTTGAAATGAAGCCTTTTGCTGAAGGACGGTTTCGCTCAGCTTATAAAGGAATTTGGACAACTCCAGATAAGTTTGGGAAGTTGTGTGTTGTTAAAAAGATGAGGTCAGGAGCAGTGTTCACTCCAACAGCTTGGGATTGTACATTGAAGATTTATGACAGAGCTAGAACACTAGCACAGCAGTTCAATAGGGGAAAATATTCAAATTTTCCAGTACAATTTACTGACACAAGCACACTTACAGTGAATGGCTCATTCCCACGTGAGTATGTTGTTGCTGAAGATTTTTTAGAGGGAAATTTTTTAAAATGGTGTAACAATTATGGCTATATTTCACCTAAAGCTAGGTCTGAGAACATCACAATGCCAGCATTTGTTCACTGGAGCTGGCTATATACAAAAGGGCAAGAAATGGTGTGTGATCTTCAAGGAACTCGTGATGAAAATGGCTATCATTTGACTGACCCTGTAATCCTCTCACTTAACAATATGTATGGTGAGACAGACATGGGAATAGAGGGTATGGCCATGTTTTTCATGAACCATGAATGCAATGATATCTGTAAGGGATGGAGGAGGCCTCGCTTTGAGTCTTTCAAAGGAAGGATTCCAGGAGTAACATTAGCAGCTTGTAAACATGTGCAGCACCAAGTCAATAATGCCACTTCGTACAGGTTTGACATGAGATTCCCTCAACCCATTAAAGATATTGTTACAAGAGTGTTTCTGGAAACTGCTCAAGCTTAGAGCTAACTTAAACTTAAGAACAATAGTATACATTTTTAGCTGCATTTTTAAAGTATTGAGTGTTAGTAAACTATATAGATCTATCTAGCTGCTTTTTTGAACAAATATTTGTTTGTATGATATTTAAAGAATAAAGACTTTATGATTTATTGTCTCTTATATTTTGAGAGTTTATATTCATATCCAGTTTTATAACCTTATGACACATTTACATTACAGCTACACACAAAGATGGCGTCACAGATACCAGTAGCCATTCTACCCATGCCTGCTCTATGGTGGCCCTCATTGCTAAGAGTCCATGATTACGTAGGATCATGATATTAAATATACTATTACTATAATAATATACTGTTATTTAGTAGACTATCAAAACAGTTTATGTTTCTTTGATATGGCAAATTTACCACAGCAGTGTTTGGCACGTTTGCTGTAGCCTGTTCGATCTACTACTAACATTGCATAACTTCCTGCCACATCAGCAATGCTTAAAATAGCATGACGTATCTAATTATAGTAACAACTTCAGTCAGCAGTGGCTAGAAATAACATTACACCCATTGTACCCACTATTCCCACTAACAACACTGCACCCAGTTGTTTTGTTAGTTCATATGAATATGATTAATGTGCATTCTCATGTGAAATATCTATAGCAACAAAACAACTGGGCATTAAAAGGTTGCAGTGTTGTTAATATGATAGTGGGTATGATGTTACAGTGGGTGTATCAACAGTATACATGTTATTTCTAGCCACTGCTGACTGAAGTTGTTACTATAATTAGATACATCATGCTATTTTAAGCATGCTGATATGGCAGGAAGTTATGCAATGCTACTATTTTTAGGTAATTTTCCTAAATTTAGATACAGGAAACAGCATGCTGTAAAAAATCCCCAGGGGAAGTACCTTGGACATCCCCAGGTCCAGGGAAAGTACCTGGGGAATCCTCTTCAATGACTGAAGCCTATAAAAAGAAAACAACTAAGGGTAGCTTGTATTGTATTAGTTCATTAGTTGAGAAAAGTTGACTATGACTACCTTTGAAAGGAATCCCTTTGCTGAAGGACGGTTTCGCTCAGCTTATAAAGGAACTTGGACAACTCCAGATAAGTATGGACGGCAATGCGTTATTAAAAGGATGAGGTCAGGAGCAGTGTTCACTCCAACAGCTTGGGATTGTACATTGAAGATTTATGACAGAGCTAGAACACTAGCACAACAGTTCAATAGGGGAAAATATTCAAATTTTCCAGTACGCTTTACTGACACATTCACACATACAGTGGTTGACTCATTTCCACTTGAGTATGTTGTAGTTGAGGATTTCTTACAGGGGAATTTCTTAAAGTGGTGTAATAACTATGGCTTTATTTCACCTAAAGCTAAATCTGAGCACATAACAATGCCAGCATTAGTTCACTGGAGCTGGCTGTATACAAGAGGACAGGAAATGCTATGTGATCTACAAGGAACTCGTGATGAAAATGGCTATCATTTGACTGACCCTGTAATCCTCTCACTCAACCAGAGTTATGGTGAGACAGATAATGGAATAGAGGGTATGTCAATGTTTTTCATGAACCACGAATGCAATGATATCTGTAAAGGATGGGGGAGGCCTCATTTGGAGTATTTTATAGGAAAGATCCCAACAGAAACATTAACAGCGTGTGAATTTATGCAGCACCAAGTCAATAATGCCACTTCGTACAGGTTTGAGATGAAATTCCCACCAGCCATTAAAGATATTGTTACAAGAATGTTTCTGGAAATTGCTCAAGCTTAGAGAGTCTCAAGCTTAGACTCTAGCTAAGTTTATAAACTTGAACTTGAGAACATAATTATATATACATATAATTTTTACCTGCATTATTTAGTGAGTGTTAGTAAACTAATAGCTGCTGCTTTGTTGTACTATTTTTGTTTGTATAATTAACATTTAAAGACGTTACAGTTATGGTTTATTGTCTCTTACTTTGAAAGTTTATATTGATATCCAGTTTTATAACCCTACAAAATAATCGTGACACATAGATCTATATCACAGCTACACACTGAGATAATCTTATACCTTTCTATCCAGTAACCTCATACTATTAGCCTCAAAGGTCATCACAAAATGCATAAAAAACTATAAGAAAAATAGTAAACGTTGAACTAATTTACTTATACTAGAAGCAGCAGCCTCATTCTCTCTCTTACTCTTCAACACTACATGACAGGGAAATATGCTTCAGTAATGGTTGGATGATTAAAATTGGATGAGGGTTGGACTATTTTCAAAGACCAACAGTTAGTATTACATTATTTATTTCATTCCTCTCTTGTTTATAGGGGCAGTATAGCATTGGTTACCATGACTATGACCTTCGACCTTGTCACAAGACAACTGTAGAAATATTTCATGTTTTATGTACCCAAAAATTAAGCAGTTGATAAAAGCTTACAATTTTGTACTTCTGTAGATATGAGTAGCAAATTCCTTAGATCTACATTTTGTTAGTTTAGTTTTGTATTTCTTGGCGTCACTTGAGATTGCTCAATGAATACAAGTACTGCACTAATCAATAAACTATGATAATAGGTTAGTCTAAAAATAGAACATTGTTATTTTTGGGTGCAATAACAGTCTCAATGTATGTTTTATGACATCATTGACATAATTGACTGTTTGGCTTGCCAACAACTATAGTAGGGACACCACCTGGGAATTTTTAATTCTGCTAAGTCAGCACCAACAGGTAAATGTGTAGATAGTAGGGTCTTAGGGACACCACCTGGGGAATTTTTATTTCAACTACACTAGATTATATAAAGATTTGATCTCTCTCTCTCTAAGTAACAGTATTTTTGTTGCTTCAGCCAATGGCAACTTTTTCAAATAGATCTACTTTCTTTCAACCTAATTGTGTTGCCACATTTGAGCAAGTTCACTTTGATGAAGGACGTTTCCGAAGAGCTTACAGAGGTCAATGGACTACTCCTGAGAAGTATGGACAGAAATGTGTCATAAAAAGAATGAAATCAGGCTATGTTTGGGCTGCCAATGGTTGGGACAGCACAATAAAAATTTATGACAGAGCTGGAGCAATAGCACAGCAGTTTAACCAAAGTGTTAGACCCAACTATCCCATTTGTTTCACAAGCATTGGTACATATGTGGTAATCAACTCTAATCCAAAAGAATATGTTGTGGCTGAAGATTATTTGGAAGGAGTCTTTATGAAATGGTGCAATAACTATGGCTATATATCTCCCAAAGCTATGTCTGAGCACATCATGATGCCAGCATTTGTTCACTGGAGTTGGCTGTATACAAGTGGGCAAGAAATGGTGTGTGATTTACAGGGAACTCGTGATGAAAATGGCTATCACTTGACTGATCCTGTAATCCTCTCACTTAACAATACATATGGTGAGACAGACATGGGAATAGAGGGTATGGCCATGTTTTTCATGAACCATCAATGCAATAGTATCTGTAGAGGATGGAGGAGACCTCATTGGGAGTCCTTTATAGGAAAGATTCCAAGAGAAACATTAGCAGCGTGTCAACTTATGCAGAGTCAAGTCAATAATGCCACTTCCTACAGGTTCGAGATGAAATTCCCTCCATCAACTAAAGATATCGTTAAAAGAGTGTTCCTTCAAATTGCTCAAGCTCAATAAGAGTTCAACTAATCATATTATTATTCATTAAACTAATCATTTAACATATCATTATTTTTATGTGCTATTTATGAACAAACTGATTTTTGGTGTGATTCTGATATTAAAATAATAGTTTCATTTTTATGCAGACTCAAGACGTTATGAATTAAATGTAACAGTGTGCATATATCAATAAACTAAAGGCTAATGATTATAATTAATACATTTCATAACTAACATCATGATTTATTGTCTCTTAATATATTTTGAAAGTTTATATTGATATCCAGTTTTATAACCAAGCATTATTAACCAAGCATTATAGGCAAGCATTAGAGTTTCCATCCTATCCCATGCCTGCTCTATGGTGGCATATGAATAGACTGATTTTTGGTATGACTTTTAATATTAAAGTAATTAGTTTCATTCTGTACCATAATAATGATAAATACAATACAGTTGTACTTGTTTAAGTTGTTTTATCACATGATTTAGTAAAATTTTTGATTTTGGTAAATTAGTTTTTCACTACCAAGCAAGCTCTTGACTGAGCAGCATTTTGATCATTATTATTATGATAACAGTAGGATCACACAATGCATAACTTCCTGCCACATCAGCAATACTTAAAATAGCATGATGTATCTAATTTTAGCAACAATTTCAGTCAGCAGCAGTGGCTACTGAGAACACACACTATAAAACATTACACCCTGTCAGGCTATCAAGTGCAACCATGTTAATGTTTTGATACTTCATTATAAATATCATTAATGAAATAACTATAGCAACAAAAACAACTGGGGATTATTGTTAATATGATAGTGGATATAATGTTTTAAAGTGGGTGTATCAACAGTATACATGCATACAAGAGTAGATAATAATTATCCACTCTTGATGCATGTTATTTCTACATAGCAACTGCTGACTAAGATGTTAATTGTTACTATAATTAGAAACCTTATGCTATTCTAAGCATTTCTGATGTGCAGGAAGTTATGCGGCACTAGCTGCAACTATTTTTAGGTTAATTTCCCAAATTTAAATACAGGCATGTTACTACCTTTAGTTGGTGTTTGTGGGAGTGTACCTGGGAAATCCCCAGGGAAAGTACCTGGGAAAGTACCTAGGAATTACCCTTCTATGACTGAAGCCTATAAAAAGGCAGCCAGACAGCTGAAAGTGCCAAGTGGACTTCAGGGTAACTTTAGAAAAGTCTATGGATTGGGACAATCTGTCACGTGTTTCTGTAGTAGCATCAGGTCCAAATGGATCCAGTATTTCATTTCAATGTACACACTTTGCAGAAGGACGGTTTCGCTATGCTCACAAGGGTATAAAATGGGCTCAACAATGGACAACTTCATGGAATAGTACACCTAAGTTTGAGAAGCTGTGTGTTGTTAAAAAGATGAAGTCAGGAGCAGTGTTCATTCCAACAGCTTGGGATTGCACATTGAAAATTTATGACAGAGCTAGAACACTAGCACAGCAGTTCAAAAAAGAGGTAGATTTTCCTGTAAATCTACATTTTACTGATGTCAGTAGATATACAGTGGACTGTGGTTTATTTATGCAACCTGAATATGTTGTTGCGGAAGATTACTTACAAGGAAAGTTTTTAAAATGGTGCAGCAACTATGGGTACATATCTCCTGAGGCTAAATCTGACGATGCCATTATGCCAGCATTTGTTCACTGGAGCTGGGTACACACTAAAGGGCAGGAAATGGTGTGCGATCTTCAAGGAACTCGTGATGAAAATGGCTATTATTTGACCGACCCTGTAATCCTCTCACTCAACAATAAATATGGTGAGACAGACGTGGGAATAGAGGGAATGGCCATGTTTTTCATGAATCATAAATGCAATGATATTTGTAAAAGATGGAGGAGGCCTCGTTCGGAGTCCTTCAAAGGAAAGATTTCAAGAGAAACATTAGCAGCTTGTAAGCATATGCAGGATGATGTCAATAACGGCACTTCATTCACATCGGATATGAAGTTCACTCAAACAATTAAAGATATTGTTAAAAAAGTGTTCCTTCGAATTGCTGAAGCTCAGGAACTAAGTTAACTTAGACTAAAACTTAAATAATTTTTAGAACAATTTATAATGTACATGAAAACTATTTTTTATAATTAATTATTTAAAGACATTATGATTTATTGTCTCTTAATATATTTTGAGAGTTTATATTGATATCCAGTTTTATAACCCTACAGAACAATCACGACACATATATCATACAGCTATACATTAAGACAATGTTACCTTTCTATCCAGTAGCCTCATATTAGCCTCAAAGCTCATCAGTCCAGGCTCAGTTACAACCATCCCTACCTCTTCATCAGTCACCTTTCGAGTTTTCTCAACTACTTCATCACTGAGTAAAATCAAATTACCAATGCCAGCACTCATTGCCTTCACCTATCACAAAAAAAAAATTTTAACTGTAAATATCTAAACTACATAGGACACAGTATACCTGTGATTCACAGGCAAGCATTAGAGTCTCAATCCTATCCCATGCCTGCTCTATGGTGGCCCCCATTGCCAAGAGTCCATGATTACGTAGGATCATGATATTGTTCACGGGACCAAGATCAGCAGCAAGATCTTCTCTTTCTTTACTGTCGACAGAGATCCCTTGACAATCGTGATATGACACTTCACCAATCTGGAATGGATAAAAGTCAAGTAACATTTATATAGCATTATAACTAACAAAAAACAAAATGCATAAAACTATAAGACAAATGGTAAACATTGAACTATAATCTCAACAATAATTCTGCCCATCAATGCAGTGTGGATGAGTAGTGTACTTACACTAGGAGCAGCAGCCTCCAGTGAAAGAGGGAGCAGTCCACATTTCATGGCACCAACTGCAATCCCTGCTCCTGTATGCACATGAATGATGCACTTGATATCCTTCCTTGCTGCATGAATTGCCGAATGTATAACAAAGCCGGTATGTGGTACACCAAGGTCAGTAGTTCCAGGATCAATCACTTTACCGTCTAGATCAACCTTCACTAGACTAGCAGCAGTTACTTCAGAGTAAAAGAGTCCGAATGGATTGAGGAGGAAGTGATCGTCTTCTCCTGGAGCTCTGAGCTGTAATCATACAACATTGCTTCCATTAAAACAGAGCGTGAAGATGAAAAATGTATTGCAACAGTATAATGATAATGATAATATGTAATATACATTATATTAAATCATGATGCTATTTTTAGAAAAAACATTACATAATTAAAAATTGATTACAACTGACTGAAATATGATTATAAATCCCCTGTGTCCAGTTATTCATGTCAACTAAGCGATAAACTGATGCCAGCTTACACCTAGCTTCCTTCTCTTCCTGAGAATACTTGCAATCTGAGCCAGAAAGGTCATCAATAGGGATAATAGAGGAATTAGTTGCAGCCATGTTTGCTGGGGTCAAGAAATTATTCCAATTAAATATTTTCTATAAATAGATTTATTATGGTAGATTTAATACTAAAATTCAATAATAAAAAACATTAATATTTTTGCAAATTCAATGCTGTTTAAATAATGTTTCTCAACAACTTTGGAGATTGAACCAAATTCTTTGATAGTTTCTCAACCGACTCTCCAGTTGATTGTGCAACCTGCTCCGCAGTATGAATCACTTTATCTAACCCTTTCAATTTCTTAGTAAACTCATCATCATCATTCACATCAATATCACCACTGGTCAATGTAGACTTATTTTTGATGCTACCATTACTGCTTAGACTTGCCATAGAAGAAGATGAGCTGGAATGAGCTCCTTGCTGCTGCTGTTTCTTCTTCATATGTGATGCGAGTCTTTCTGCTGACTGGCCAGTTGACCTTGCAACAACTTGAGCCTTCACTTTAACTTTATCTAGCCTTCCATTAATATCCCTTGGCTGCCAAGAAGGTGAGGCAGGAGGAGATCCAGTAGAAGTAGAAGAGGAGGAGGAGCTGGGACGTAATCTCCTTGACCAGCTTGCTGCAGCAGGCTCATTATCAGCACTGCTTGAGATTTGACCTTCTGGTGGAGAAGAATCATCATCAGGAGAGACATAACTAACATGAGGATTAAACTGAACTCTCTCCATGAAGTGAGGCTGCTTCTTTACTTTACTACCAGGATCAGATGATGGAACTACTGAATGACTGACTAAAGAAATTGCAGGAGAAGAAAACACTTTAGTACTTGATGATGGAATATGCAACATGGCTACACTGCTTGCTGGGAAAGAGTATGTCATACTAGATGATTGTGTCAAAGATGCAGGAGATTGAGTTGCACTAAAAGATTGTGGAAAATACGAGCTAGAGCTAGCAGTAAGAATAGATGCTGGTGGATGTAATGTAGGAAATGGTTGAGGATGAGAGAATGATGTTGTCTGTCCACTGGTGAATGGAAGAGATACTTCAGAGGTTAATGAATTGGTTACTGGTGCATGCAGTGGTGCAGTGAGAGTTGATACTGGATAATGCAAAGGTAAAGCTGGCCCACTACTAAATGAAGGAGGGGCAGTCAATTGTGGTGAATATACTAATGGAGCTCGTTCAGCAATTGATGCTACTACTGGTTGACTTGTCAACTGGAACAATGGCTGACTAGTTGACGGAAGAATTGGTTGAGGTTGACTGGTTGAAAGTTGTGCTGGAACATGCTGACGATTTTTAGTACTCTTCCTAAAACCTATTGGACTGCTGTCAGCTATTCTATTATCTAAGAAGCTCCATTCATTTGATGCTGTTGGCTCTGAATGCAGCCCTTGACCCTGTGGCATATTTCCTATTCTAGTAGGTGTCATCACAGGCATGCTCTGATGCATAGAAGTAGAAGAATGACCAGTTACATACATACCCGGCATTGCCTATCATTTTAATGAATTAAAATTAATGCAATTACCAAAAGACTCACTTGAAACTGAGAGTTCCTCTCATAGTAAGCTTGCTGCTCTTGCTTTCTTTCTTCACGTATTCTGTTTATCTCTTTTCTTATGTTATTAGACAAAATTTTAAGCTCTTCGTCCTTTGTTCTTGACTTTGGAAAATCATCTCTTTCACCTTTAGAAATTTTCTGTCTTTTATAAGGATAGCCAGTATCGTATCCCTATACAATTATAATTATTAAAACTATATATTATGTCTTCACCAAGTGGTCAAGTAATCTCATCATAGCTTCAAACTCTAATTCATAATTCTCAGCATTAATCTCTTTGTTTCTGATAGCAAATTCTCTAACAGAATCATCCCTGATAACTAATGCAAAGTCCCGTCCAGCCGAAAGTGTTTGAACCTTTATAATTATAATAATAATATTAAATACTTAAATAATTATGCCCACCTGAATTTCACAAGCTCTCATGACATTGTAACAGATGCTAAAGGCTTCCTCAACTGTTCTACCCATTGCAAGAAGGCCTTGATTATGCAGAAACAATACCTTATTCACCGGGCCAAGATCAGTTAAAAGCTGTCTTTTGTTCATGTCGTTCATAATATTATCGGTATATTTATGATAAGACACTCTGCCCACCTAATAATTGATAATAATATGCAACTTATGTGAACTATAATTCACTCACTTTCATTGATTCTTGACTAAGTTGCATCAGTCCACATCTCATGGCAGATACAGCTGCTCCAGCTATTGCATTTACATGTACAATACATCTTACATCAGGCCTGGCAGAGTATATGACTGAATGTAGAGCAAAACCTTCTTTATTGATACCCAATTGAGTAGATCCTTGATCAACTATAGAACCATTGGAGTCAACTTTGACAAGATTAGAGGCAGTCACTTCAGAGCAATGAAGACCAAATGCATTCGTAAGATAGCAATTTATCTCACCAGGCAAGAAAAACTATAAATTATTAATATTGGGTATATATATGCATATAAAACATTGATTAGGTAACTAACTGTAATGTGGTCATAGATTAACTGAGACCAGCCAAATCTTTCAACAAGCCTGTACAATGATGCCAACTTGCAACGAGCAATCCTCTCATGCATGCTGTATTCATCCCCTACTGCTCCCTTTAAATCATTAATAGGTCGAACTTTGAACCCTACAGAGGCTCCAGCATATGAGAGAGGTGGTATAGATTGATGAGGTATTTCTGGTGGAGCTGGTAAGACATTTTCTTGTAGTTTACGGAGTGCTTTTTGCTTTTGTCTGCTTTTTGAAGACCCAGCAACATGATCTTTTAGTATATCCTCTAGTTTTTCTTTAAATAGCTGCTTTGAGAGAATACTAGTCACTGGCCGGTTCTTTTGCAGTTTCTGTATCTCTCTTTGAATTGAAATTGGCCTCTTTGGGTTAGAACTGTAGAGCCAATCCATTGAAGGCTCTTCTTCCATTTTGTTTATGTTTACAGTTTGAACAAAAAGCCAACGCCCACATGCTGCACAAATGGGAGGGGCTCATTAAGTAGGCGCGGCTCATAAAACTTATAAATAGGCGGGGCTAAGTCTAGATCTCGTGCGTGCTGCTGCATGGCCATGGAGGAGCAGAAGAGAAAAACAACCAATGGGTTTCACTTTAGTGAGTTCTCCAGCAAGAGAAAGCACTCTGGAGACCCAAAGAGAAAGAATGGATCCACTAGATGGTCAGGAGAAGCCGGGCAGCAGCATTCCCGCTACAAAAGAAAGATGGATCAGCCACAAGACAAGGTATGAACATGTCTATATCTTTAGTTTACTATTTTTACATTCTTTTAACAAAGCCTCTGGTCTCTTTCCCGGCCTCTAAGACATTCACACCTTCCCTTGGTTTCAGTTTAAATCAGAACGGAGGGCTGGGGCTCAGCAGAACACAGAGTTTGCATTACTCCTGCTCAAACTGCCTACCATCTCAAACAAGAGTGAGTTCCATTAAATTCGACAAATTGTTGGTGGGTGTTGTGTTTATTTTTTAATTGTCTTGAGTAGAAATTTTAATTTGATTTTATAATTTAATTGTCTAATAAATACCATTGTAAATGTAGTATTTTAATTTATTGTCGTGTACTTGTAATTACATGCCACATGGTCTTAGCACTATTCCTACTCCAATAAACAGGTTTTGTGTGATATGTTTGTTGCTGAATGCCGAACAGTGTCACTGGGCTCAACCATTATAACAATACCTCAATGGAAATTTGGTTTTTAAAGCTCTTATGTCCAGTGCATGTGTACTTCATGTGTCTGGCATGCATGTTATGACACTGTGTTAGCTCATGTAGTAGGCCACTTGGCATATAAATATCTTTGTTTGTTGACTGTTTGGCATTAGTTTGTTATCAATCGACGTAAGGCGCAAATCTCTTCCTTTTCCTCCTCCTCTCTCTCTCTCTCTCTCACTCTCTCTCACTCTCTCTCTCTCTCTCTCTCTCTCTCTCTCTCTCTCTTTCTCTCTTTCTCTCTCTCTCTCAGAATGAATTCATTGATTTGGAATATTATGGAGCTGGTCTGATTGATATTCTAACTATCGACAGAGGCTCAGTCAGGTATGGCCAGATGTGTATCTTTTACTTAACAAATACTACTTCCATTATTAATCTTTCTTTGTCTATTCTCCTATTCTCCTTCAGTGGTTTGGCTGGTTGGATGGCACCTACATTAACATGGACTCTCACTAATACAGTGATACCACTAGCCAACCCAAAGAAAGAAACACTTGAGTCACAAAGGTCAGTAGTTAGTGGAGATTTGTTTTCACAGCTGCTAGCAATCAATGAGTACTCACATTGTTCAAAATGCATGGATATTATTATTATCATTATTATTATACTTACGCATGCATGGTTCATTTTTTGTTCACAACAGAGTTCAAACAGCTATAAGTGACTCTGCAAAGCTCTCAATGGACGATGACGATAAAAGTTAGTGTGTTAGTTGTATGTTAACATGGAATCAATTATGCATTTGTTTAGTAGTGCATGTTGTGTTAATGGTGTGTTAATGGTGTGTTAATGTTGCATTAATGCCTTGTTGTAGTGTCAGAGGCTGTGGCACTCAAGAAGCAAGAGAGAAGAGCTAAATCTATCCTTGACACAATGTCAGGAGCTGTTTCTACTACTATATTAAGGTTAGAATCACCCTATACAATTTAATACTACTTTTCTTTATTCTCTATTTCTACTTTCTTTATTCTGTCATTATAGGATGGCTAATTATACACTACTTTGGGTTCTAAGACGATTATTTAGACATTTTTATCTACAGAGAAGTCACGTGAAGATGCTAAAAGATGCACAAGAAGTTATAGCTCATTTTTGAAAATTAAAAATTAATCTCCATAATTATTTTTAAAATAGAGAGGTGTTCCTATAATATTTCTTCCATGTCACAAGAGTCATATTGATTATATATTAATGTCTATCGCATTAATTAACATTGGTATCAAAGTAAGTATATATCGTATTATATTATTATCGTTTTTCCTTTTCCCTCATTCCCTCTCTTTTAATCTCTTTTCTTTCCTTAATACAGGTCCCTCATATAGCTGCAGGAGATAATCTCAATATTCCAGTATTCAAGTAATATCATCAATCACTACACTAACCTTTCTCTTCTCTATTACATAGTTACTTCATTCATCGTCTTGGGGGTTTTTTCATAAGACGTAAATTAGACACAGGCAACAAAAGGGATGACTTGTATCGGGAGTGTCTCCAGGAGTACATTGAGCAGCTGCTAAAAGCTAACCAGAACATTGAAGTGTATATTGGTAGGCATCTATATGTACAGTTATTGTACTGTGCATAGTTTTAAGTACATGTACATGTATGTACGTGATATGTTGATATTTTCAGAGGGTAGCAGAAGCAGAAGTGGTAAACCCTCTCTTCCTAAATCTGGTATCCTCTCTTATTTTGTTGAAGCTGTGAGAGATGGTAAGTACTAGACAAGGAATGAATCACAGCTCATCTCTTCTTTAGGTAGTGTTTCAGACATTTTACTTGTTCCTGTTGGTGTTGCTTATGACAGAGTGAGTGCTGATATTAACACTGATATTAACATTGATATTAACACTGATTTTAACATTGATTTTAACACTTGATTTTCTGTAGATTGTTGAAAGGAATTTTATTCGTCATGAGCTAATGGTACAGCATTTTAAAATGATTAAAAACACTCCATCCCTTTCTCTCATTAGGGCGGTAACAAAAAGCCAGAGAATTTTTTTAAAGCACTTGGTGGGATATGGAGGATGATATCTAGTGATATTGGATGTGTTAGGCTTGATTTTGGTCAGCCCTATTCACTCCAGGCACGTCTTCCTTTTGATTCATGATTTCAACTTCTTTTTATCATTATCCCTTCTCTATATTCCCTCCTCTCTTTTTGTTTTTTTTTTGTTCTCCTCTTCCTACTATTTCAGGATTATTTGCATTCTCTTTATATTTCTAATCAACCATTGATGTCAATTATCAGTCACTCTCCTTCTTCCCCAAACTCGTCCAAACATTCCACCATCGACCGGAAGGCAGTAACTGCTCTTAGCTATCACATTGTTTATGGTAATAGAATATCTTATGATCACCCTACTCTCTATTTCTCTCTCTCTCCTTTTTAGATTTTACTCAAGTTTCAACTATAATGTCCACCAATATCGTTGGTTTTTTGTTATTAACAAAATACAGACATGTAAGCAATGAAATTCACTTCTTCTTATGTCTGCTGAATATGCATATATATTTGACTATTTGTATGTGAAAATTTATTAATTATTATTTTACCTTGCAGGGTGCTACTATTGTACAACTCATCAATAGTTATAAATGGCTCTCTGATAGAATTGCTATCTCTGGCAGGTAAGAGACTCACATCCAGACATATAATGTATGCTACATATTCTTTTAGAGCTCTTGGTTTCTCTGGTACACCATCAGAAGCTGTTCATTATGCTTTAAACTATCTCTCTCATCTTATTACCTATGATGATTCTAATGTTGCTAGGGGCAGTGCTTCAGTTGTCAAGGGAGTTGATCCTGAGCTGTACAGAGTCGTGTGCCCCAAGTTGGACCTTCCTGACGTATTTCAACTCTCGCATCATAGCAATCAAGTCACAGTACTCTTTATGAAGGAGGCCATTACTGGTATGAACAATTGTTTTTCTATTGAAGTTAACTCTCCCTCTTTCTCTCTTGTACTTTTCTTTAGCTTGTGGGTTAGTAGCTATGCTTGAGTACGAAAGAAGATATGATCCTCCAAGTAAAGGAGAAGAGAATGAGGAGACTGTTCAGTCACCTCAATATGTATCACAGGAAGATGTGAGTGCTGCAGCTAATGTATTGTATTTATTATTATTATTATTATTATTATTATTATTATTATTGTAATAGTTGTTGGATTATGCTTTTGATATCACTAAGATGATTGGAAGAGAATTCACATTTGCTCCAGTAAGTGCATGCACAGTAGCAACATAAGAAAAAGTACATACATGTATGAGCATATTATATGTATCAAAATGACATTTATTACATTTTTATGTCCTTATATTATGTAGAAAGTTAGAGCTGATCCCGGCTTCAATTTTTAAAGTTATAGCCATTTTAAGAAAATGCCAAAATCCTGAAAAATACCCAAGGCTATAGCCCATGGTTTTTTCCAAAAAATGGCTCCGAAATCACCCCAAATTTTTATTACATTTTCTGATACATATTGATGTACTTATGCTGTGTAGCAAGTTTGAGCTGATTTCGACTTCAATTTTTCAAGTTATGACCATTTTAAGAAAATGCCAAAATCCTGAAAAATACCCAAGGCTATAGCCCATGGTTTTTCCGAAAAAATGGCTCCGAAATCACCCCAATTTTTTATTACATTTTCTGATACATATTAATCTCCTTAGACTGTGTAGAAAGTTTGAGCTGTTTCCGACAAGTAGTTTTTGAGTTATGAGCATTTTAAAACTTATTTATGTAGCCTTGTCTTGATTTGTCTCAAGTACTTCATGATGGCATTGAAGGACTGATCGTTGCTGATGTATTGAAAAGACAATCGAATGTAAGTAATAATGTAAAGATGAAGTCCATTTCTTTGTATGTATTATATAGTCAAGCATTGGATTGCATGAAAGGAAGATTTATCACTGCAGTACTGATTGGAGTGATGGAAGTGATGGTGAAGAAGATAAACCAGAGGTGTTATTAGAGGTGAGATTAGAAAAGTTACCAAATTCTATTATCCTTTCTCTCTTTCTCTCCTCTCTCTTGTTTAGGTTTCAACAACACAGCAAGCTAGAAGTTACACTTCATTTCTAGTCTCAGTCTTGGGTCCATTCATTGAAGGCTATTGGAGTGTGGGGATGGCTCTTGACACTTTATGGGAACAGCAAGAGAACAAGAAACAAGACAATCCTCGCGGTACTCCATTACTTGCAATTTATATGATGCATATTCCTATCTTTAGAGACTTGTTTTTTGCAAGAGCTACAGCATTCAATGATTGCAAGGCATCAAGAGGGACAGTTAATTCATGGTTAGTGTGGCTCAATAACCTTATATTAATTCTTATCATCACTTGTACATGTACATGTATATTATGTCCCCATAGCCGAGAGCTGCTCAATGGATTTATTGCGTAACGGATTACGTTCTTTTGTTTCATTGCAAGCTGTGACTATTAATCCCGATGGACACGTGTTTGTTATTGATCAAAAAGAACTCAAAAGCTTCACTGTTCTTCTCTCTTATTGCAAAGTGTAGCTGAGAAATGCAATGTATGCACTATAAGAGATTGACTGACACATTTGTTATCTTTATTTCAATCTTCTTTTCCCTGTTTCTTTGTATCGCCCTCCCTTAGCCAACCATTCACATTCTGTTATATATTCTCATTTATTGATTATCTCTCTTACTATGTACATGGTATCTTTTCTTATTCTGTTGTGCCATTGAACTCAAAAATTTGATGTTGTATACATGTTTTAATTGTGTGTGTGTGTGCCCCCCAAGTAGGGTTTGTATAAATATGTTTTTAAGTTTCATTTGTGAAATGAAACCTTGTATAAACTGAGGTGTTACTGGTTACTATGATAAGGCTTCTTTCCCATATCAGTTTACATAGTAGAGTTTCACTTGGCGGTAAACAGCCTTCATCTCACTATGATCTCAGGTAAGAACAGCTCTTTCATTTATAGTTTTTATGTTGATATATCTACTATTAGGTTGTGCAATATTTCTGACTCTTAGTCTTATCTTGAGTATCTTTTTGCTAGCAGTTGAAACACACATCATTTATGTGGATGATAAATTAGGGCACGATGATGAGGATTGTCTATCTGAAGAAAATGAGCCATGTCAGTCATTAGACTATGCACTCAATGGTACTAAGAGTAATAATGTAACCATTATGATAGCATCAGGCAAGCAGGAGGTCAACAGCAGTGTTACTGTGAGTGGTGTATCAGATATACTGATTGAGGGTGATTCTAATGGTAGTACCATTATCCAGTGTGACAGCACTGTTGGTTTTAAGCTGGAAAGAGTCATTGAATTAAGTATCATGCAGGTCACTTTCTCCAATTGTGGCTTTGTTCATGATACCACATATAATAAAAGTGTATCCTTTCAATCTGCTGTACACATTGTGAACAGTAGCAATGTGACTATTAGCAACATAAGTATTATTGATAGTCCTGGGTTTGGCCTTGTACTAGTGGATACCAATGGCAGCGTTTTAATAGAGAACAGCACCTTTGAAAATAACAGAGTTCCAGATAACGACATGGGTCAATATATAGGTGGAGGCGGAATCTATGTTGAGTTTTCATCATGTTCACCTGGTTTTGACACACAATGCATGACGGACAAAAAAGGAAGTCCTTATTCCTCTGACAACAGCTACACTATCACTGGTTGCACTTTTAAAGGGAACAGAGCATCGCTTTCACCTTCAGATGCTCCGATTACTTACACTACAGACAATGGGCCTATTTTAAAGCCGTTTGGTCGAGGTGGAGGCCTCTCTTTGCAATTAAATGGGAATGCTTCAAGAAATAGTTTCTATATTGAGAATTGTAGCTTTATTGACAATGAAGCTCGAATTGGTGGAGCTGTATCAGTGAATATAGATGACTGTGCAAGTAACAACACAGTAGTAATAGAAGATGATATTCTTATAGAGAATAATACTGCATATAAAGGTGGAGGGGGAGGCTTAGTGATTGGATTTTTTGATTCTAACAAAGCTTATAATAATATGATCAATGTCTCTGATGCTACCTTTGATAGCAACACAGCAGAGTATGGTGGTGGAGTATCAGTTTATTCAACACGTATGCCCTTTGGAATTAAACTACAAAACAAGATTGACTTTTGGGACTGCATTTGGAGTAACAATTCTGCTGAGATTGGAGCAGCTGTTGTACTTTTCCCTGAGGACTGGTCGCTCATTTCTGATGGGTATTTACCTACACCTTCTTTTCGTGATTGTCGTTTTGTGAGAAATTACCTCAAATTTGACAGTAGATTGAACTTTTCCAATGGCGGTATAATATCAAGTCATACCTTTTCAATTCATTTGTCATCCAACATAGAAATCTCTAATAACGATGGCTCGGGGCTGCACATCTTAACTGGGGATATCAAAGTTCTTTCTGATTCAGTACTTCATATTTCAAACAATTCTGCAGTTAGAGGAGGAGGGTTAATGCTCATAAATTTTGCCTCTATCATTGTGGAGAACCATTCTAGCATTATTTTCAGAGGCAATAATGCATCTGATGTTGGGGGAGCTGTCTATTACTACTCTAGTGATAGCTTGGATTTTGTTAATTCTAGAAGGTGCTTCATTCGTTTTAAAAATGACTCAAATATAAGCTTTATTAGTAACTCTGCTATATATGGTAAAGCAATATATGCAGAATCGCTCAGACCCTGTACAGATGACACAAAATATGACAAAGTGAAAAATTCGCATGACTATTTTTTAAGGAAGCCTTTTCATTTTGAAAGTCCATGTTTGAATTCATCAAACGTTATATCAACATCAGCCCAACGTATCAACATAGATAACACTAGTCAGGAATTCTCACCTGGAATCATATACAAATTAAACATTAATGTTACCGATGATATGGATCAAAACATTGACACAGTTCTGCTTGCAACATGCGATGATAACACAAAAATACAGAGCCAGTACAAGTACATATCTGAAGATTATAAAATGGCCATTAATGGTAAAGTTAACACAACCACTAGCATGGTACTACAGACTATTAATGCTCGTTCGCTAGGAGTGAAATTTAATGTAACATTAATATCTTGTCCTCCTGGATACATTATTAATGATGATGAACAAAACTCTAAATGCGTGTGTTCGGTGAGCAGTGAGAAACCTATTCCTGGCATAGTGGCTTGCAATTCAAGCAGTGGTATTTTAAAGACTGGGTATTGGGCTGGCTGTAATGAGAGTGGCACACTCTTCACTGCTCAGTGTCCACTGGGATACTGTGACTATAAAGATGTTACAAACAATGGGCTGATAACATTGCCATCAACATGTGATGATTTAGAAGACAATCTTTGCAATGAGTACAGGAAAGGACAGATTTGTGGAGAATGCATTGTTAACTACAGTGTCCACTATCATTCCACAAGGTTCATATGTGGAGAATGTCAAAATGATTATCTTGGAATTCTTTATTATGCCCTTTCTGAGTTACTGCCACTGACGTTACTGTTCATATTTGTCATTTATTTTGATGTTAGTGTGACTTCTGGTTCTGTCAATTCATTTATATTGTTTGCTCAAGTCCTGGATTTCTTTCAAGTCACAGCCTTTCGTAGCTATGATCCGCCTAAAGTTGTATCCACTTTGAATGAAATATATTGGTTTATTTTTGGATTTTTAAATCTTGATTTCTTCCGACATGATAAACTGTCTTTCTGCATGTGGAATGGAATGAGTGTGTTGGATGTATTGGCATTTAAATATGTGACATCACTTTATGGGCTATTCTTGCTCTTCTGCCTCTACATCTTAATGAAATGCTGCAAGCCATTGAGGACATGCTTAGGTAGAAGACATGCTGATGGCCGTTACTCCATAGTCCATGGTATCACTACACTTATGATAATAACATACTCTCAAATAACAAAGGTTTCGTTTCAAATTCTGACCCGTGTCGAGTTATGTAGCAAAACAAATAATTGTGATAAGAAAGTTGTATTTCTTTCAGGAACTACTTCTTTCCTGAGTGTCGACCACTTGTATTATGCTATACCAGCAATCCTTGTCATAATTTATGCAGTGTTGCTTCCTTTCGTTCTCATAGCTCATCCTATTTACTTAATGGTAAAAAAACTATTATTCGATAAACACATTATCCAGGAAAAAGAAGGGCATTGCTGCTGTAGCTGTTTCTCCTCAATGCTGACGAAACTAGGCTTGATCACTAAGCCTATATCAGATTCACTCCAGAGTTGCTTCAAGGACAACATGCGGTTCTTTGCTGGTCTCTTTTTTCTGTATCGATTGCTGAGTTCTGCCTCTTTTGCCTTTGCAACAACCGCAATGGCTATGTATTCGTTACTGGAAATACTGGTTTTAGTTATGCTCACAGCTAATGCAGTTTTTCAGCCCTATCAAAAGAAATTTTACAATGTCTTGGATACTCTCATGTTTGCTGACCTTGCGTTGATAAATGGTATGAGTCTATACAATTTCGCATCAACTCAGTATATGACTGACCAGGAATATTCTGATCTTATTGCTAGTGTACAAGTGGTCCTCATCTACATACCATTTTTTTATGTAGTAGTGTTGCTGTCTTTAAAGTTACTAACTTTTAAATCTCGCTCTGCTCGTTATAAGCTTAGGCATGCCAATGCTTATTTCAGTTTGTATGATCCTAGAAAGCTTGAAGAAGATCAGCGTGAGGATCAACTTAGAATTATCAGAGAAGGAGGAGATGAAAATGAGGCAGAACTTGATGATAAAAGCTGGAGTATTCGTCATTTGCCTGCAAGATTGTTTCAAAGGGATCGTGACTTAAGAGGTCAGAGAAGAGGCTATGGAACAGCCTTGACTAGGAACACAATGTAATAAAAATAGATGCTATCAAAATAGTTTTAAATACAAATAATTATATTTTTATTGTTATGGTTATTTTCAATTATCTAATAATTAAAGTTATTATTATTATTATTATTATTATTATTATTATTATTATTACTTAATATTATTATACGTTTTTGACAAATAATTTTTGAGTTATGAGCATTTTTAAAAACAAGCCAATACCTAAGGCTATAGCCCATGTTTTTTCCAAAAAAATGGCTCCAAAACACCCCAAATTTTTATTAAATTTTTTATACCTAATGATGTCCTTATGCTGTGTGGAAAGTTTGAGTTGATTTTGATAAAAAATTTTTAAGTTATGGCTATTTTTTAAAATGGGTCATTTCTTGAAAAACACCCAAGGCTATATAGCCCATGTTTTTTTCTAAAAAATGGCTCTGGAAACACCCCAAATTTTTATTACATTTTCTGATACCTAATGATGTCCTTATGCTGTGTAGAAAGTTTGAACTGTTTCCAACAAGTAAATTTCGAGTTATGAGCATTTTTAAAAACAAGCCAATCTTTTAAAAAAGCAAAGTAATACAACATTAAAAAAATCAATCATGGTCACTATTAAAAGTACTGAACATTCTTTTAATAGTTTCTTGATATCGTTTGTCGGCTTCTTCTTTTAGTACAAGTACTTCTCTCAACTGACCAGCAATTGCTTTACTCTCTGGCTCCAACTTCTTTGCTTCCAATAAATCAATCTCGGAATGTTCTAAATCCCTTAGTGCAAAATAGGCCACACCTCTCCTATACAGCGCTTTACTATTGTGAGGTTGTTTTACAAGTATCTTGCTACAATTCGCAATTGTATGCTGATACTGTTTCAATTTTAACTGACACGCTGACATATTTCCCATACAAGCCAATTTCAGTTCCAAGCATTCCTCTTTGCCATCCTTTCCTATACTAATGATATATTTCAGCGATTTTGAATAAAACATGGCCGCCATGATGTATTCTCCTTTCTTAAAGTGATCGTTTCCTTTGGATTTGTAATTTCTAGCTAGCATAAGCTTCTGATCTGGAGATAGGTCCCACTGATTGACTCCCCTTTTAAAAGACAATAATTCTATTCTGCATAAAATATCCTTTTCATTTACATTTAGCAACACTTCAATCTCTTCTCCTTCCTTCATGTTCATTATGGTTCTCTCCAGCTTGTACCAAAGTATATTTTCCGGCTCTCCTAAGACTATTTGGTGATTCTCTTTACTGGTAAAAGGCTCATCTGTTACTTTGGTCTCTTCCTCCCAACATTTTACTGTTACTGTCACCAGAGCTCTCTCGTTTGGTTTGTACAAACCAGCTCCTTCTTTTAGGATCCTTTTAGCGGCCATGTTTTATGGGCGTGGTTATTTTAAAAGTTATTAAAATCATAGATATTAAATGACATTCATTTACTCTAATATCTACCATGACATATGTTAAAATTGTTCAAAAAAAATTAATTAAAAAACAAAAAACTAGTTCCTGTATCAAAATTAATTTGTTCTTTTAAATTGTATTGTTAGATTTTAATAGACCCTCATTAAGTTGTTCTATCTTTTCTTCGACACTAAAAACAGATCGCGTGACTTTTGTACGAGCATCCACAACATCAATGAAAGCATTCGTCTTGACTGTCTCCTCATCAAAGTTTGCTTCCATGTTCTTAAGCTCTTCTTTTCTAAGCTCAGCATAATCATTTTCTGGAACCTCGACAAAACTTCTACCCCTCAGTTTATTGAACCTTGGTTTTATGACATGGGTCCAATTCTCATTCAGTGTTGTGAAAGCAAACGTGAGGTAGGCAAGGAGGATAGAGGCACTGACAGCATATCCTTGAGCATCGTCGGACGCTTCTGTAAAATTGAGTACCAGTAGAGTGAACTGTAGGGCTGCAAGGTTTAGGAGATATAGAAACTCGACCCTTCTATTTATTAGATTATTGTATATTCTCTTTGCTAAGACCCCTCCAAGCAATATAATGCTGATTGCAGTTACTCCAGTCGTCCTGACAACTGGGCTAGCTAATGCAAGCAAAATTATACCAAATCTCAGTAGGAGAAGTAGTCCTGTCCAAAAGCGAAAGTTTGGATGGTAAGGTCCATCATAGGTTTCCAATAGGGGCTTCATTTTAAAGAGACGTCTTCTAATGAAACACACAAACCTCTCGAATGCCGTTCCCTCGTGTGCTGTGAAGGACCAGATGAATGGATAGAAGAACATTATGATTGCAAATGGGACAACAATCCCAAGAAGCACACCCAGTGAGAATAGGAAGAGCAGTGCATGCTTGAGACTAAAGTATTTCACATTACCATCAATGCTCCAAACTTGATAGGTAGATACTGTCTGGGAAGAGCCATCAACATTAACATGCCTGATAGATGCATATGCAATCGGTTCTGCACTTGCACGAAGCAATTTTGTGAATGTCATGAGGGCGATTGTTGTTGATACAGCTACTATGTTCTTGGGTACGATTTTGCTTATTTTTGTTGAATAGTGAGCCCCTATCATTGCTGCTGCTAAAATAACAAAGAGATAAAACGGAAAAATGTATTGGAACCATGCTTTTGCATAAAGATCAAAACCGTCATAGAAACAAGTTCTGAAACTGAAATCAAGATTCGTCCAATCGACTAGAATTTGAAAAAAGGCAAACATCGGCGACTGAAATTCGAAAAAGTCAAAATTGGCCAATTTGATGACATTGGCATAAAACAATAGTCCATTGATTCTCCCAGTACTGACCGTCAGCCTCAATAAACTAATAAACCCAATTAGTGCAAATGCAATGACTGCAAAGAAGACCAGTAGTAAAAGATATGTATTTGAGCATTTCCTACACTCACTGGATCCTAAAACTGCACTATAGTTAATCTGACAGCCGCCACATAGCACACCAGCATGATTGTACATACATTGTACGTCTGGATCAGAGAGACTGAAATTTACAAAGTTAACGTCAGAAAGATAGTTAGCAGCAAATGGAGTAGCCACAGCAACATTTGATGTATGATCTGCATCATCTGATGCATTAACTATACCAATCCAGAGACTTGAAGGTTTTGATATTGTATTTTTTGCTGTATTGCATTCAATGTTTCTATCTCTTAGCAATGAAACGCACACACATTTTAGCCGATCAACAGATAACACAAAACCAACTGGACAAGTAGACATTGTGACATTAAGAACAATCGGTTCATAAATGCGTCTGTTTTGAGGTGATAGTATAACCTGAGTTACTCTGTCTAACGAATTCACTGTATATGTCAGCTCAGAGCAACCAATGCCAATGTTTTGAACCTTTGATTGCCCTAAATTAGCAGCTCCTGTATCATTAACAATACTAGCAGTGACTATAGTGGGAGTTAAACCATCAAGACTACTGTATTGAGGTGAAAAAAATTGAGAGTAAGCAAGTGCTTGAACTTTGATAGTGAAAGCTTGACCGGGATAAGCACTTATAGGTACCACACCATTGGTTTCATAATTATTTTCAGAGCATTCCCTGCTTCCAACTTCATCGCAGAAGCAGAACTGACTAGCTGGTGCTGATATTAGTGAGGTTGAACTCAAATCTGTCTCTGAAAAGTTTGATATCACGTTCGTAAAGAGCTCCAAAGCATCAGAAGCATAAATACCATTCTGAAGTATGCAGTTCTTTAAGTTAGCATATACTGCATCTCCTGCTAGTTTTGCATAATTATTATCAAAGTATACGCGAGGGTAGAACTGGTCTCCTTCAATCTGAAAGAAACACATGTAACTGACCAGCTGTGCATAAATAGCACCACCATATTGCTCTACGTAATTATTTTTAAAAATTGTAGTGGAGTTTGAACCAAGATAAACTATAGTGCCTTCTTCTACATTAAGTCCTCCTCCATTGGTAGCGTTATTCCCTATAAACTCATTTGTTCCTCTGAAGAAAAGTATAGACTGCAATGGGCGTACACCCGAGACACTGTTATTGATCCATTGGCAGTCGGTGAACTCAATGTGCTGTACAGAATTAATTAAATGCACCTGTGGGCTGCTTGTCTCTAAGCCGTTGCCACTCTTTCGATAAAAATTACGCGCAAAGTAACAATCTTCAATAAATACTTTGAATTTGTACCCGTAACGTGGTAGACCGCCATATATGTTAATGAACGTGGCGTCTCCATTGTTACCCTCTGCTTTGGCCCTCCTCATTGTGATGTGTCTGGGAACATCCATGAATGATCTAGGCCACATGTACATGAATCCACCAGAATTCAAGGATGCTTCATTAAATGAGACCTCAATGTCTTGTACTAGGAACACATCAGTGACATACTTACTTATTGGCACACAAACTGGTTCATATCTCACGGGCTCTAGTGATATCATCCCATTCAGATAAAAGAATCCTGGGGCCATGGTGTAGCTTCCTGCCACTTCAAGGATGTCCCTGAAGCGGTTGTAAGCATTCCCAGAGGTCATGTTACTATCGGTTATTGTAATAGTGGAGTTATCAACATAATCCCATACATTTATGTAAACATTGGCACCCACAAACGCTGCGTTCGCTGTAGCATTGATATTGGTAATGTTAGCATCCAGACCGTAAGATGACTGCATTAGTAAGAGACCCAGACCAGCTCCTCCAATTAGCTCAACGTCATTCCTTTTTATAGCTAGCGTAAAAGGTTGAAATATTAAACCAGCATCAACTCCACCTTCAAAAATCGAGTCATTAATCGTCAGCGAATATTGGAGAGGAGTTGAAGGGCATTCTAGCAGATCAGTGTATATTAGAATAGCATTACCTCCTTTGCAGTATAAGCTAATGTTGGTGTAGCAACTAGAGTTATCAAGAGAGTAGTGATTATTCCTGTCAAAGTGACTCCGAGTGATGGTTGAGTCACCCAGCATATTAACAGCTATTAGCCCGTACCCAAATGATTGGCTTATAGTCACTTCACTTAACATAACATCAGAGGCGTAGTTGATAAAAAGAGCAACGTTTATACCAACAGAGAAATTAAACATTGTTTTACCATAAACAGATACACTGTCGTTGAAATCATTTGGGCCTATATTCATACCACATCTGGTGAGTGTGATACCATGGAGTGTAAGTAAAGTCACATTTGTGAATGACATGCCTACAGCTTCATTGCAATGTATGGTAGCATTCTCTCCAGTTAGGGTCAGACTATGCAAATTTTCTATCATCATTACCTCATTGAGGGGATGAACCCCAGGAAGAAACACAAATGTGGTATCAGGGACAAAGTATCTATCAGTGTTGCTACCAATGTAATGAGACAGGCTGTCACATTCTTCATTGTTTTGTGGACAAGATTGAGGGCTGGTAGGGGAATGGATGTAATACTCTATCCCAATAACGGTGTTGGAGGAAAAGTGACACAGTAAGAGAAACAAGATGACAACAGAATGAGAAAGCCCCATCATTTTGTGTTCTTAAAATTGCTTCTGTAATCCTCTCTCTCCTCCTTCAGCAGACTGACTCTTGCTCAATGATGAAACTATGATGCTGCATTACAAACTCAATGTCACCATTAGGACAATAAAAGTTATCATAATAACTGCCTTAATAAAATATAAAATAAACTGTTACATTCAACGTGTCTCTCCCACATCACACATTGATTAGCAATTGACAAACATAGAGTGATTATGATGAATTAAGATCATGTGTATATACTAGGCTACTATCTCATGCTTTATTTAAAGATCATTACAAGGAAATGGTTAAATAATAATAATGATATCACGCTAAATTATAATAATGAAAATGAATTACGCTATGCATAATTTGTATGTAACATCACATAGTATAATTTATTATATCAACAGTATATAATCCATTAACATCCTCCCGGTTGTCTCAGCAACAAGACTTTGAACTGGATGCACAGGAGGCTTCCTTGTTGTCACAACAACCGGAGGGAACCGAAATTTGAAACGGATTAAAATCAGAGTATGAGCTCAGACTAGGATAAGGAGATGATTGACCTGTCCATGGAGCAAAAGAGAAATGCGATCCTAACCTACTCTCCTTTATCAGGAGGGACACACTAGCAGGAAGGACAAGTGGAGTTCCTGTCTATAAACATAGCATCAACAGATTATGACAAGTCATTGTATCTGATAGCAATACCTTTAATTCTATGTCATGTGAGAATTTGATCTTGTTAGGATGATCTGCAATAGTACCTGATGTAGTGGGCATAGGCATATGATGTTATGTGAGTATTGTGATGCATTAGTTCAGATACCATTGTAAGTGATTTCTTCAGACAGAGTAGAGTCATGCTCATGATGATTAGTCTTGAATAGTCGATAGGTTGCAGAACAGAATTGAGTTTGACCTTAACAAATATACCAAAACGGCTTTATGCATCAGTAGAGCCATACATGGTATCTATAACCCTTAGCCATGCACACACACACACACACACGCACTTACACATGACATGTACATGTACATACATCAAGAGTAGATCTGTTCTTAGATACATGTACATACATACATAAATGGACATCTGCTACTACACCATAATTGCATAATTTACCATAATAGGTGGACAGAGGTTACTGCATACCGGTAGTGTAGTGCATTACCTGTTCTACCAACCATTGAATTACATTAGATTGTGGTTGAACTAATTAATTCCGCAAATTATATTAATTTATGATAAGTACAAACAATGTGGCAATAGAGAATGAAATAATAGACATTGCGCAGTTTTTGATGCCAAAAATCAACATGAGCTATTATTATTGTTGCAAAATATTCTTACCAAGCAATGAGCTCAATTCTGGATTATCAGGAACAGTAACAGGTGAAGCATCGACTAGTACCGGAGGGGCAAACCCGACCTCAAGAGCTATGGACATCAATTCCTTCCATTCAAGAGCACCAGAGATACACTCTCCTATTGTTAATAAAATAATGCTAAAATAATGAATCATGTTCTTTACCCAAAGCAGTTGAAGTGAGATATTTAGCTTTGGTTTTAGAGCAACTTTGAAAATTTGTAAAAAATTTAAACTTTATCGGAATCAGCTCAAACTTGAAACATAGCATAAGAACATGTATACGCATCAGGAAAAATTATAAAAATTAAGAATTTTCTCATTTTCATTTTTGGCAAAATTTGGCCAAAACCCCTGTACTATATATAGTACAGGGACTTTTACCTGATTTTGGAGCAACTTTTAAAAATAATAAAAAAATCCAATCTTGATCAGAATCAGCTCAAACTTGCTACACAACATCAGAACATGTATATGTATCAGAAACAATTATAAAAATGAAGAATTCTCTCCTAGTCATTTTTGGCGAAATTTGTCCAAGTACCCTGTACTATAGTACAGGGACTTTGGCCCAATTTTTGAGTAACTTCAAAAATTTATAAAAAATTCAAACTTGATTAAAACCAGCTCAAACTTGAAGCATAGCATAAAAATATGTATATGTATCAGAAAAAATTATAAAAATAGAGAATTCTATTTTTTCATTTTTGATGAAATTTAGCTCAACATCATGTACTGCAATAGCCCATAGTCTTGGGCCCAATTTTTGAAAAATTATGTTCCTACCATGTAATATCTTGTTGCTTCTTGCTTCCTGTGAGATAGGCCTATCAGCATAAATATCACTGAAATACAACTCACCACCAGCCTAAAGTGTGTCAAATCAGTAAGAACGACATTAAAACAAGACAAATCAAACAGGATGCAACGAACTTACTTTTAGTGCAGCAAATGCACCCTGGAAGACCTTCCACTTGTTTGGACACAAGTTAATAACACAGTTTGAACTAAGTGTAGGAAAAGAGTGGGAAACGGCAGTCATGATTACAAAGGATACTTATCAACAACATTCTAAAAGGCTATGTATACACAATGACACATACAGCGGGTGCATTGCCATGGTGATCAGTTGATATATGCATGAATGTAAACACTTTCGGTGTTCTTATATACTTTTCCTTAAATGCCTACGTATCGCTTAATGATAATAATGCATAATGAATATTCCCTTTGCTTAGGGGCAGTGCATGATAGAGGAATGGGACAGGAGGGAGTTTTATGATAAATTTTATGCACTAATCAACTTCAAAACAGAATCAGTATCAATATGATTTCAAATAAAGATTGATTGCTTCAAGTATTTAATAATACATATGGCAACATTCAAGTTCTCCCCCCCCACTCCCAATTCATTCCCCCTGCTCCAATTTCATGCTTAATTATAATGCAATGGCAATGATAATGATAGCAATGACAATGCTCCTTACATGATCACATCAATGCTGTCTCTTTCGATTCCTAATTCTATCACATCTTCAATAAGTCCTTCAATAAACACCACATTAGGCGAACCATATCCGAATTTACTTGTATGATAATCAACATGCTTTCTAGCAACCTCAATCTAAAACAAGGGTGATAAAAGATTTAGTGTAAATAACTAAGTATATCTACTTGTTTCTGACACTGGTTCTTAGAATTGCTCTCTCTCTCTCTCTTGCAATGCTTTCATCTTCAAAATGTCATCTACCAGTGAGCATTCTATTTTCCAATAATATTTATATTTAGGGCGACACATTTTAACCACTTAGGCTCCAAAGGGAGTTTACCAAGTCCATTGTGTTATTTAATGCAACCTTAACCTGATGCAATTTAAATGCAATCACTTACATTTCAGTTTAAAGTGATACAGTGGCACCAGCAAAGCACATTCTTTCCATCTAAATGTCATTCATGTTTCATCATTAGTTTATTCACAGTAGAAAGTGCACTCTCGTTTCATTTATCATTGCTGAATGGCACACTAAATTATTTACTCATATTATTACACAATAAAGCTGAGTTTTAGTATGCATCATCATCAAGTTAATAATAACTCGCCTAAGCCTTGTAAAAACATATGACATAAACTAATTGAATTAACAGAGAAAGGTGAATACTATTAGTTAGAGTATAATATGGAACCATATATGGTATAGAAATGTGCTGCTACATCCATGTGACAATAGAGCAGGAACCAAGTGATTGTGTGGATATGCAGCATCACCCTCATGTCATTCAGAGGTTGACAGGATATCTAATTATATTCACAACTTGAGGCACAGCATGTGATTCTTTTCATGAGCTCATAAAACAATGACCTTTAGATCCAGTTTCAATTTTAGCCCAGAAATGAATTCATTGCTCTTGGTAAGGGCTATATATCAATAGCCTGGAGCCACAGTATTTTTTTAGAAAAATGCAGAAATGAAACGAAAATTGTTTTCTAAAATAACATTTTACCTCTTCAAGGGGCAAGAACTGCATAACACAAACGAGTCGTGTTTGTAACTGCACCAAAAATAACTAGGAAACGCATTAGTTTTATACATGCGTATACTCGCTCTGATTACGTCAAATTTTTACAAAATGACAAACACAGGATCTTACGCAATCACACACGTGATCGATGACACCATGCACTTATCATGCAGTGGATATGTTAACGATGTTTTGTAGTTATACCTGTTCCTTTGTCATGTCTACTCCAGTCACATATCCTGTCTCTCCCACAAGCTGACTCAGGACAAAGCAATCTCTCCCTGAGCCACTCCCAAGATCCAAGATGTGACATTTTTCGACGGCTTCGGGAAAAACTAGACCACACCCGTAGTACCTGAACAAATTAGTAGATGAGGTGTGAATGTTAATGTCACTTCACATCTGCAAACAAACTCAATTTTTAATTGCATGTAGAGTTATAGATGCATCTATTTCTTTAAAAGCTTAATAGCAATTATTTCAGTACTTGCTAGTAACTTCTTGATGAATGTTTCCTAGTGCAGTTCTCAGCCGTTCTGAGAGACAGCCTTTGTTAATTCTTGTACAACAGGCTGTAGTTTTTAAGTCTGAAGTATTGGCCAGAGATTTACCATAGTATTCCTTAACGTCTTGGTGGACCGCAGACTGCTCAGCCTGCTCAGTTGAAAGGTTAAGGTCAGCCATTTTCACATAAATTAATTATTGTCTGAGATAAGGTATGTGGTGGAATGAATGATGTCAACTTCCTTTTTCTCAATTTCCTGTACCATGGTTTATCTCAATAAAATTACCCACATCAAAGTGCAAAACACTGACCTCTTCCTGTAAAAATTCATTTTCAGCGAGCAACACTTTTAATTTCTTTCAAAAAAATATATTTTTAGTGAATTGATTCTGATTGAAGATTATGATACAACAGTAACAACGACAGTTTAACAAACGTACATAATAATAAAGATAATAAATACACAAGGTAGTGATAATAATTGATCCTTTACATACAGAGAAGTAATATTGATTATAAAGTAATGATAAATAATAACTGAGTTATTTGTGGACCTGATTCATGTACAAGTGGTTGAAAGATTAAGTGATAAAGTTAACGAACGCTGGCTCGCTTCCACTCTGCAAGGGCTGACTTGATTAGTACTAGTAGTGCTTTTCCTACGTGTGAATTCATCATTCAACGAGAGTCTCAGCCCATCTCTACTCCTACTGCTTGCAGCTGGGAGTGATCCTTTTCTAACCGGAACAGAGTTCACTCCTGTAGCTCCAAAGTTCTTTATTGCCGGTATCAAAGACTCCGAGAAACTACACACCTGCTCTGTGTTTGCTGTTGGTAGACTCTCTTCGAAAAAAGAAGTGTTCTTGGTTGCTTGGGAAGGCGATTGACACGAGAGACAGTTCACGTGAGTGTTAGTGACAGTTGAAGTGGTACATGTCATTTGTGAGCTAACTGTTGTCCAGTGTAACTCCAAGTTCTTCTGATGGACCATTAGCTGTCCCATGAAGCCAAGGTTAGGTGATATGATGGGCCGTCTGCTCTGAACGTACTTGTAAGCCTCGGTCATTGTTACTTTCTTGTGCTGCATCAGATAGGCAATGCATACAGTGGCGGAGCGTGAGATACCAGCATGGCAATGAACAAATACTCGGCCACCTTTACTCTTGATTTCATCTGAAGGGAAGGAAAAGAGAAAGATGCTTAATTAATGTGATCAATAAGTATAACATATTATGTTATTTGCTCTGAAATTGTAATTATGTCCTTTTATGCATAAATAATTGTACTTTAACAAGCAGGCATGATCAAATTTGGATGTGTGTGTCTGGTAATTATGTATCCTTACCAATAAAGTTAATGGCCGTCTGTAGTCTAGACAACAAGTCAGCTTGATGAGTGTCTTCTACTGGTATAGACTTATACTCAAGATAAGGCTCAAAGTGATTCGGGCAAGATGTTGTGATATTGAGGACGGCCGTGATGTTCATTTTCTTGAGTATCCTGAGATCAGAGGAGTCCTTGGCACTCCCCAGATAAAGGAAGGGTAGTATTTCAACTGGAGTGCCCTCTGGAGTGTCATAGCCAGTGCAGTCCACAGAAGAGGTCGGGAGGGTTGCCAGAGTGGGAGAAAGGGCCTTGCTTGGCTCACTAGAGTTGCAAAGGCTTGGATATGCTTCTTGGAAAGTTTCCATACCACCTAGAGCCAAAAGAGAAAACAATCAATGGACTGTGTTGATATTGTGGTCAATACTAATAATGTTAGATATGATAAACATGGACTACTGCCAAAGTAAATTGTACACAAAAGCAAGATAAACAATGCTACATTCGCTGTACTGACTTACCTAGTAATACTCTGATGTTTAGCTTGTTTTCGAATCTTGCTTGCAGTGTCTCTACCAATTTAACAAGATCTGCTTTCGTCTCTGAAGGTGTGGAGTTGCTGTCGTAGAGGACAATCCGCTCTGCGGCACCAATGCTGCTTAGAAGAGAAGTATCAGTTAGTCTCAGTATCAGGGAGTCGAGTGATGCGGTTCCTTTCAGTAGACGCTTCATTAGCATAGGAGCAAAGGCAAAGCTCCTAGCATTGTCGATGTGCTTGCCAGAGTAGAGGGAGAAGGAGCGCGTGTCCAAGAGCAGCCATTGCTCCCTGTCTTCCTCTATTTTCTTGGCTAGTTCTGAAGGACAGATCCAGATAAATTTTGGGCTGTCTGTAGTTGCAGCAGGCTGTCTAAAGTGTCCATCTCTTTCAACAGTAGTATCCATACTCACTGTAGAATATTGTAAAATTTTATTTGAGCAAAGGTTATTGTTCACTAACTAAGCTCTGGTTGTGATTTTGATCATTGATTTCTCTTGTTTATATACATGAGCCTAGACTGCCATGTGTACTATTTATAGATTTAGCTTACATTATGTAATTAGGTGTGTCATCACACCCCTCCTGATCCTGCCGAGCTCCACCTCTCAATCAATACCACTAGCAGCACTGCACACAATGTCTGTGTATCCACCTTTTGTCCTCGATAAGTCAAGATTTGACCAGGTACAACCTTTTGTATAGATCTACAATGTATTATATACCTATGGTGTATGGTACAAGTCTTGTATTAAAAGCTTACACAATGCATACACTATATTTATACACAGCAATATTCCTATCTCCTTTCTTCGTCTATTCAGAGTACTTTCAATGGAAGATTGAGACATTTCATTGATATTGTGGACCCAAGGACTTTATTTACATCCAATGTAAGCCACCACTACGGACCAGACACAGACTAGACACATTGCAATGTCATGATGACCACATTGTTACACTCTAACTATTAAAATTTAATTTTTGTTTAACACACATTTCCAGCCCCTCCTTTTGTTTCATGGCCAAATAAGTATGACGTGTGGAGTAATGTGTGTTCAAACAAAGCAAATTGACTGGTAATTGTTGACATGTACAATTATGAAGAAATCACTGTACAACTGATCATTTTTCCATCTTTGGATTGCTGATGTGAATGATTCTTGAGTTACATGTATGTATAAGGAGCCTGCTTTTTGTAATAACAATAATGATAATAAAAGAGCTCTGAAATCATGCAATAATCTGCCTATGTACTTGCTCCATATTATTAGTACTATTGATGCTATAGTATTGTGAGTTTAATGTGCTTATTGGTTCAGTGCATAGGCTAATAGGGTCTAGTGTTTATGATTATGTCAGTGTCTTGTTTTTGTGTCAGAGCCTTGTTTATCATTACAAGTATGGACGAGTCATTTTTATGCTCATGTCCGTAGTGTCTCAATTTTTGTAAGGAAGCGAACCGTGATTGACCTGGCCTTTTATGTTATTATTGTAGAATGAAATAATGATTACTCTCATAGACTGATTATCATATCTTTGTCATTATTGTAGCAAAGGCTAGAAGCATCCGTTAAACTGCTGGAAGACTTTAAAGAGGGGAAGATAGGCCCTAATGTGACGAACAAAGAGGTCAGTGTACATCAAAAGCATCACTTGAAGCCACGTTCCAACTATTACATACTATTACTCATACATGTGCAGACATACATGTACCGGTACATACATACACATGTATATGCATTCCTGAGAGACATTCCTTACAGCCTAGCAACCTAATAGTCACTAATAGAGGTTAGACAAGACAGAAAACAGAGACATGCTTTAAAGGGTATCTACACACATTGACGTACGTTGCATGCACCTTTGTCTAGCTGGAAATTGTTATAGTTCCGGCTTTAGAGGACAGAATTTAGTACATGCCTGTGACATCATTGCTTGAGTGGCGAGGCTTTAGACAGTATAGTCTTACTGTCAGGTGGTCAGTATGGATTACTTCCAGTGTATATGCACATGCACTCGCAATATGGAAGGAAAAGGATACTCTATTACTAAGAACAGTTACTAGATCCTCTCTCTCTCTCTCAATGACAGCTCTTTCAGTTACTGGTCCGGGGAGAACATGGACAGTCGATATTCTTGTCTTGTTACCTCGTAGGTATAATTTCTGGAGGTAAAAACCTGGCTCATTCATTATATGGACTTTGATTCTTGGTATTGCAATGTATTAGTCCACTCACTTGCTCTGTTTTCTATTGTCTCTATCACATACAATAACATTGGCCGTTGATTTCTCATTGAGAATGAGACCAGTTGTCTGGACATTAGCTCATCTTTCTCTCATTGGTGTATCACTCTGTTTTGCATGTATCACTTCTTGTTTTGATGCAAAGTGTCTTTTTCTGAATGGATTGTTTGGCCCTTTGTCTTTTGGCTGAAATGCATGACTTTGTACTTGTGTCAGAAACTAACTGGAACTCATGTTATGTATAATAATTGGAAGTTGATGCCCATGACTGCTTTTATGGCTGATTGCGTGCATGTACATGTATTGGGGACTCTAGCATGCACTGCAAATGTCCCAGTATCGCTAAATCTTGGAATTAAATGGTCAATGGCTGTATTGTGCAATATTCCGTTAATTGTACGAGAGCTCTAAAGTTGACAATACACTACATGAAGTTTGTGTTCATTGCTAATGTGCGAGTGTGATTAAGCAAGTGTTTGTGTGTGTGTACAATAAGGCACTTGTGTGTTCTACAGCCTATCTTAATAATCTAATGTACGTGCTCTTAGTAAAGCATGCACTACTAATGTGCTCTGTATGAAAACACACAATAAAGTTATGGCCTGTTGGATTGGGCTGCACACGTGTGTCTTTCATTAGCCCATAAATGCTGCATGTCTAGTCTCGTGACATCCACTGCATATTGCATTAGCATATCCAATTTAAAAACTCCTACTACTCAACTATCTTAGCTAACACAATTATATATATATATGGCACTATTATATTAAGCTCATATGATGCATTAACTTAGGATTGGATTTCCCTATTCCTGGCTACAGCGAGTCTAGTAGCTGAGCTATTGTTTTGGTGTATAGTAATCTTGAAACCATCATTGCCAGTCTTTAAATAAACATTGAAGGATGATAGCAATCAGCTAATTAGTCTACTGCTTCAAATCCAGTTGAGAAAGGGAGAGAGATTAGCATTTAAGGGGAACTGGGAAAGCAGATTGAAAAGGAAGAGGTTGTTTTTTCAACTTTATGTCACAATTTGTATCTGCATAAATTGACATAGTGAATGAATGCGCGCATGTGCATGTCCATGTGTATGCTTCGTTAGATAGTTGTCTTTGGTGGTTCCCTCTATTGTTTGTGGAGGAAATGAATCAACATTATTGTAGACTTGTTTATTTTATAACTCAATCAATGCCGAGTCTCACTCCTACATGTACAATGTATGCATGTACATGATACATGCAAATGCAAGCAAATCTAGACATACCCTTTGTCACTCTGTGTGCCATCATTTTACTCCTTTTTGTTGTGAGTTTCAGAGTCAGTGGTTAGTTGTTACATGTACTTTCAATTACTACATGCATATGGGCTCTTGCCTGTGTAATTGACTGCGATTAATATTATTATATCATTATTAGTATACAGTACTATTATATGCTCTAGCTGTTTCCATGTAGGCATAGTTCTGATTTGCATAACCACTGCAATTATACTTGGTACCAAAACCTTTAATGATAATTTGTGGTGAGTATTATGGGTTTTCACTAAAAGTTACACAACATTTGTGCAAGTACTACAAGTTCTGGTTCCACATAACGGACAGGTTATTGTTTGATAGGCTGCTTAATCCTATTATGAAGCCCTAAGCATTATTATTATTATTATCATAATGTACCAATTATCATAATAGTACTATATAAGTCCCTTGAATAGATTCTGTGTACAATGATGAAAGTGTGAGACAGTCATATTGTCCTTACCCCATTGCTATCAGTGTCTATCTATGGTTCATTTGATTTCATTAAGAAAGTGTGTCTGTGCGAACTTTGCTTCCTATTGTATTCATGTGTACACAGAATCTTTATGTATGCTTTGAACGCGAGTATGTGTATCGAGTACTGACTTCAAAGGAAAGATTTTGTTTCATATTCGACTTATTCTCACAACTCTGGACTGTAGACCATATTTCAGAATAACAATCTTTGACCCTGTTTGTCTTTCATGTTGTGTACAATGTGCGTTACTAAAAGAAGCCTAACATGTTGTGTAGTGTGTACCCTGTTTGTTACTTTTCAATGTTTGGAAAGAAAATGAAAGAAGCAGGGCTGACAGATACTGAGATCGGAGAGAGGAAATTCATAATGATATCATTTACTAGTACACGAAAGTCCATAAGTTCATTGAATTCATGTCCAGTGTATAACAGTGCATATAATGAATGCGGTTACACAGGCTATTTACTCTGTATTACAGTGGTCATTTACGCAAGTCACACTTGAGGAGGGGTTCAGTTACATAAGAAGATGATGAGTCAGTATTCATGTGACCATTACAAACAGTGACCGCTCCTATGATTAATACAGGGTACTTGCATAGTCTTACATAATAGGAAAACATGAGCTGAAGTCATCAGACTATAATATTTTAATTAACCTTAAAGTTTATACATTGCGATGCACCTGTCCCTGTACTATAGCACCTGCCCCTGGGGCAGTTCAATCTAGTATATAGCTGTATTATACCAGTTAGGAAGTACAATTAATGTATTTATGTTTGCACTTGTTTACGCCTGTTTGATGTCTCGCACTCTATGCTAGAATGTTCCATTTCCTCCTCCTCCTTAATAATTATAAATTGCTGTCCATGCAGGCTTACTTTTAATAGTGTCTTCCTTTTTCATGTGTATCTACCCTCAATGTTTTTAACTGTATGCAAATATTTTCTCTCAAGCCACTCATTAGTTCCTTGCTACCAATCTAATTTCCCTTGGACTCTCTTCACTGAAATTCATACACATACGCACATATACGCACACACACACACACACACACACACACACACACACACACACACACACATGATATGTACCAGTAATTCCTAGCATTGTAATGTGGTGCTGGAACTTCTTGTTCAGTATGCAAAAAATTTCTTACATCATTTAGGTGGAGGTTTGTGCCATTTAGGGCATAATAAACGTTCGTGACTAACAAATTATCATTTTATTAGTTCAGATCTGTTTTTACCATACATGTCACGAATATGATTGCATAGTTGAATTCCATTCATACTTTTATTGTTTGGTAATGTGTATAATGTCCATGTTAATATGTCATTTTCTTGCATGACTTTTATGTTGCCTGGTAACTTATTGACCGTGTGCAGAGTCATGTTCCTGATTCTGTTGGTACAATGTTTTGTGATTTCAATTGACATATAAACAATGATGAAATGTTGCCTATCCTTATGATATTACAGGTGATATTGATATGAGATGCATGCTAAACATATTGCAATCGTTTGATCTGTGATCTGGCAAAGAGTATAGGGATATACAGAATATTCAAGCTTATCTACTAATGGTTCTAAGCCTCAATCTGCTTGCTATTATTAATAATAATAATATTAATATTATTTTATATATTATTAATTATTTTGTTGTAGCATATGAAAATATCATTTTGTGATTGTCTATACACAATTCTGCCACCTTCTCTTATTGAGCAATGCGTCATAATTTCACTAATACCAGTTACATCATTGCTTTGTTTTCTACCAATCACTGTAGATTACACACGCTTACAGTTCCTTATCTTGAATCAGCTTTATTTCCTAATTCTGATCTGATCATGATATAATTGTAATGGTAAACTGCTTGCGGCTTTATGCATCTGTGCCTCCATCTAATACGTGTTTGTGTTTAGGATTTAGTTAGTTGTTATAATAACATTGATATCATTAAGTTACTCTCAGTCGAATTACTCTGTACTGAGAAGTGCACGGTGTACAAGAAGACATGTGGCCAGGCCACCTGTACTTATAGATGTACCTACACAATGTATTTGTTGTGTACATGTAGTTGTATAGCTTTAAGTTGTCATTGTATTTTGACGAGTGACATCCTCATTCCTTGGTCCTTGTCTTTGGCACTCTTCGTTGCCTTGAAAACAAATTATGTCACTTTGTTGTCGCTTCTGTCTTCATCAAATGACCATGTTTTGAGAATACACTGACATTCTTTGAAAGATCTTCCTCAAGATTAGTTATTGTTAGTAAATATGTTGTGGAATCCATTCTTGTTATAGTGGTTTTGGAGGAAATGAGCTTTTTTGTACTGTAAAACCACCTCATCTGTACCTTCTCTTATGAACCAGTTTTGTTGTTTATGAAGTAATGGAAATACCATGAGAGTTGTATATAATGCAGTCTTTCAATACATATTATATTCTGTGATTCTGTAAAGTGTATTTGTTGTAATGTTCTTATGTTGTGGTAATGTGTATCTGAGCCCTGACCTTTTATCATTCTTGCATTATGACAAAAGCATCACTAGATATACTGAAAGTTCAGGCTATATAGACTAGTATTACTGTTTTGTCAATAGACCCCCCATTGCTTATTTTTGGGTGAGTATATCTTAGTCAGTATACCTGTCTCTGTTGTTCTAATAAGACGTTACATCGTACATGATGCATGTACATGTAGACACATGTTTGTCTCTTGTGACACTATCTGCATCTGTATCAGTTCTCTACCCTTAAGCTATTCTGTGCATGCATCCATGAATCCATTATTATTTACTCTCTTGATACATGTTACATCATGTATGTGTATGACAATCTTGTGTGCTGATGTACCTGTGGGTGGTGGTATAGTTTTGATTGTATTCTATGACTAAAATAAGTCTGAAGTTCAGGTTATATATGCTAATCGGAATGCATCCAATTAGATCTTAAGTCCAATTACATGTGCATCCTGATCAAACAAAGTTTAAAGTAAATTGAATTTTAGTCGTAGGACCTGAACATAATAGCTATAGCGTCATTATACCTGGTAATGATTATTTTCTATTTTGTCATGATTACCTAAACTCTCTCTCTCTCTCCCTTCCTTCTCTTTCCTCATCTCTTCCCTTCCTCTATTTTTCTTCCCTTTTCTCTGCATCCTTTATTAGTTATGGGAAGCTCAGAAGATCAAACAGGTTTGTCATTCTGAAACACCTGCTATACCGTATCCATGTAATTTTGTGCCTGTGTGTACATGCACATTTATGTTTTTACAAGTACTAAGTAAAGGACATACAGATCTTCCAAGACATTTGGAGGGAATCATACTTTTAAGCTACAATAACAACAACATCCTTTTAATGACATGGCTTCATGTTGTTTGTGTACATGTACATGCACATGTACATGTACATATATGTACATGCGCATGTACATGTACATGTACATGTACGTATATGTACATGCACACATGCATGTTACATGCACATGTATGAACATAAATGTGGTTGTGTATGTATGCTGTAATGGTAGTAAACAAGACTGTGTGGGTATGTATAAGCTGTTCAAAGCATAACATAGTATTAAGAGTATATCCATTGTTATGTGATTGTGTGTGTTGTACATGTACATATGCATGATACATGACGTAGTACATATCATTGTGTTATTCTTAAAATTGTATTTGTGTTAGTAAAGTTGTTTGTTGGTTTCCGTCTTACTGTTGGTGATATCATTATTTTATACTTCTATTTCGATTCATTAGAGGATTGTGTGTTTGTTGTTGTTGTTGTTGAAGCTGTTGCTTATTTTGTTTGTCCACGTCCATGAATACATTAACCATGCCTTGTATAGACTATAGTGTTGCATTGTAATGGTGAATAGTAATGGTAAACATGTTTGAATGGAGAAGAATGAATTTTATGAGTTTCCGGTTATGAATTTATTTTAAATGAGAAAAAAGATTCCCCTTGTTTATTTTTTTACTTTTTTAGGCTATAATTCATCCTGATACTGGGAAAAAGGTACCCCTACCATTTCGGATGTCAGGTGAAGCAATTAATAATCCAATTAAAACATTGCACTAATTTGATACATTATCTTCTTACCTTTTAGGTTATGTGCCATTTGGATCAGTCACGGTAAGTATTAATATAATACAATCACGAGTTTCTTTGGTAGAATGCAATCAAAAATCAAATTGCTTGAAAATATGGCAAAAGTTTGATCAAATTTGTATTTTTAAAGTCACTTCATATGCTATAAGGCTTGTCAGTTCATGAAGCATGCCTTTTAGGACACTTAACAAACTTTGTGGGAAACCCAGAATTAAACTCTATTTCCTGTTTTGCTTGTTTCGTCAAAAAGTGCATTCGTGTCCATAGGCTCCTCATATAAACAATCTCATAATATTTGTATAGTATAGTCTGTGTCTGATTGTTATGTGATGGTGCAAGACTGTGCATTATTGAATCTATTGTCAGCGTAATGTTATCAAGAAGGTGTCTTTATGTTCCCAATATCCTGTGTTTACTTCCTTGTTGTGATGTCTAATGGAATTAGTACTCTACATCCAGTTTATACAGTGATGAGTCATGAGTCATTTGTCTAAACAGAGACAAAGAGTCACTTCCATCTTGTAGTGAATTATTATCAATGAGTAAATACACACATGAAATGTGTATATACATGTATATAGTATCATTGTGTGTGTGTGTGTGTGTGTGATTATTTTAATCTATTGAACAGGATCTGAGTCAGTGAAACTATATTTTAGGATTGCCTTACTATAATTGCAGTGGCAGGATATTATGCTTGGCACAAATATACACGATGTATGCATTTTTAGTAACTATATAGTAAATTCATGATTTCATTTAAGAACTAACCCTCTAATGTGCATGTACTTGTATGCACGTCACAGATCCGGTAATTTCACATTGTATTCCTATAATGGCCACTATTGTCCCATATCTCTTAAACCAGATCATTCATTAGGCTGATAGGACACTCTGTGTCACATTGTGTCATTGATCCCACCTTATCACGACATGCTGTCATACACTGCTGTCATGGCTGCATAGTTGATAGTGGAAGTGATCCTGCATGCTTTGCCTTATTTGCTGCAAGTTAGTGCATTGTCACTGGAAGAGATTATGCCAGTTTCAGTTGCGTGACCGGCCCAGTACTGGACAAGTCACGTACACAGGCCGTGCATCATCATCATCATCAATGCATTTTTTTCAATGAGGAAATGATACAAGTTTCAATTCGATATGAAGCTATACTTCAATTACTCGGATTATTGTGTGTATAAGCTATACATTAACTGAATGCAAGCTTGCAGTTAATTTATAAATAGTATGAGTCATGATATACCATAGTGATATACTAGTAATTTTTGTTGGCAGTAACTTGAACACAGCCCCTCTACTGAGGAATTGTAATCATGCTGATATGAAAGTGAATTGTTGTGACTCCTACTATTATCCTCCTCCTCCTCCCTCTAACTCTCTTCCTCTCTCTCTCTCTCTCTCTCCCACACTTTTCCCACAACATTTGTAATTTGGGGAGAGTATATGCTTTTGTTGACATACTTTACATAGTTAACAAGTGATTCTAGTTTTAAAGTACATGTACATGTTTATTTTATAAAGTTTGCATTGCTTTTGTGTATAATGTGTAGCGTTGTGCATATGCGTATATTTTCTTTCTTTCTTGGAAAGTGTTTGTAGCTTTTGTGCCTTCTGATTCTTGCCATTGATGGAGAAATTTCTCATTATAAACAGCTCCTCAGTCTAAAGGAGTTTAGTGCCATACGAAAGCACAAACATTGCAGTTTAATGTTTACATAATTATTATGAGTAGAAATATATTATACCGGTATTGCTTGATGTAATTTAAGATTCCCATGTATGATTAGGTAAAGATTATGACATTTGGTAATTTTGAGTCCACATGCACGTGCATATATTTTGTGGTGTTGCAGCTGTTATCTTTGGGAACTATAGAGTCTTTATTGTGTAATGATATGGTCATGTTATGTGTAGTCTAGCCGTTCCTTTATGTCTTGTATTGATTAATGACTTAATGAGACACATGGTTTAATTACTTGTATTGCTGACATAATATTTATGGTTTTATCTTAAACCTCCTTCCTCTTCCTTTCTCTCTTTCTCGTTTACTCTCTCTCCCCCTCCCTCCCTCCCTCCCTCCATTCGCAAAGGTTGTGGGGCTTCTGTTACCAAATCCATCGTTTAGCCAGATGATATTTTGGCAAGTAAGCAAATTTATGAGAAACTGTAATTTGTAATTTGTTTGTTGAATGGCTGGGCTATGAGTCATTGAGTTATGCAGCTGTAATTCGTGTTGTGAAACATGTCTTTGAATTATTATCAAGTAATTGGATACAACTCAAATGTAATTATGCTCCTGTTTGATTGTGTGGGTTGCGTATATTCATTTTATGTTGGTCACTCTCCTCCTCTCCCTTTTAGTGGTTGAATCAGAGTCATAATGCCGGTGTGAATTACGCTAATAGAAATGCAACAAAAGTAAGTATAAATGATATTTTTAGTTTTATAAGTTAAATGAGTAATTACAACAAAGCTCCTTTATACTTGTCTGTACTATAAACTTCCTTTATTGTGAAAGTAGCTTTACCTGTAGGCGATAAATGAGCTCATTTTAATAGCCAATGTGCTTTTGTTGAATATAAATATTGTATTCCTTATCAGTTTTCTTTACTGTTTTTGTTCTGGTCTTCTAGCCAACTCCTACCAGCAAGTTCATATTGGGTTATGTTGGAGCTGTCACTTCAGCAGTTTCTATTGCTGTATGTTCTATGGCTTTGTTTATTTTCATTTCTCTTCACTCATCTTGTTTTTGCCTTCTCCTTTTCATTTTTTCCTTTCAGTTCTTCCTCTTCTACTTTTATTTTGTTCTTCTATTGATCAATTTGTTATGTCGTTTCATCTTGCCCTTTTTCTATCTCCGTTATCAATAATTCAATTTATTTTTTATTCTTCTCTCACAGGTAGGACTCAGCAAGCTTATCAAAAAGGCTCAAAACCTAAAGCCGGTCACCAAAATATTAATTCAGCGTTTTGTCCCTTTTCCTGCTGTAGGTAGGAAATTTGTTCCTCTCTCTCTCTCTCCCTCTCTTTATTTTATCTTGTACATGACTGTCTCTTTATGCTTCTCTGAATCTGAAAATGATATTATTGTTTTTGTTTTGTCTCTCCAATGCCTTGCTTGTTTTTTTTATGCATAGCATCTGCTAACGTCTGCAACGTTATTCTGATGCGTAACAATGAGCTGTCTGAGGGCATTGAAGTTGTTGATAAGGATGGTAATAGTGTTGGGACATCTGTTGTAGCAGCAAAGCAAGTGAGAGAGACTGAAGGAAAGAGATTAGAGAGGGGAAAGAGAGAGAGAGAGAGGGAGGGAGAGAGGGAGCAGAGAAGGGAATGATAAAGAGAGGAAAAAAGAAGGAAAAGTGTATTTGTTTTTTTTATTATTTGTTTTATTTGTGTACCACAGGCTGTCTTTGAGACTGCCTTAACAAGAATATTCCTACCAGCTCCAATCTTAGTGCTTCCTCCAATCATCATGTCATTCATTGAAAAGTTAGTGCAAGCTTTAAGATGGTATTTTAATTTTAAGTCTTTATCTACAGGACTTCTTTCTGGTCTAACTATCCACGTATGAGGATGCCTTTGAGTGCTTCCATAGCTACACTTTGTTTTGCTGTTACATTACCAGTTGCTATTGCTCTCTTCCCTCAATACACTAAAGTCAGTATTATTTATTGTGAATGTACATATTGTGAATCCACGTAATGTGAATATACATAATGTGAATGTACATAATGTGAATGTACATATTGTAAATGTACATAATGTGAATGTACATAATGTGAATGTACATAATGTGAATGTACATATTGTAAATGTACATATTGTGAATGTACATATTGTAAATGTACATATTGTGAATGTACATATTGTAAATGTACATATTGTGAATGCACATAATGTGAATGTACATATTGTGAATGTACATAATGTGAATGTACATATTGTGAATGTACATATTGTGAATGTACATATTATAATTTTAATATCCTTATTGAAATTACTTATTAATGATGTCTTTATAGCCACTCTCCTGTATAATGTATGATAAACTGTTTCTTTTCTCTGAGATGAATGTAGGTTTTTTTATTTTTCATTTTATTTGTAAGGGAAGAAGCCACTCATTTTTACAATAGCATGACTCCTGAAAATGAATGCTTTTTATCATTTTTGTGATGACAACCAGAACTCCCTTGTCAGCTTTTTAAAGGGACAGTTATTTTTAAAACCTTCAACTATGTCATCCTCTGCTTATAATTCTGTATGTAACTACCCTTGGGCATAGCTTCTAGATGATTTGGGCTCACTTTTGTTGTAGTATACTATATACTGGGAAATTTTGGAGGAACTAAAATTTTTGGCGAATTGCTAAATTTTGTGGTGACTGTCGAATTTTATTTGGCGAATTAGTGGCCACGTGCCATTGAGCATGCATATAATGGCTCAAAATGGTGGATTTTAATTTTGGCGAATGGCTGTCAAAACGCCAAATTTGCAAAAAAATTAATTCCCTTCAAAATTTCCTGCTATATGGTATAGGAAATTAAAGGTCCTGTATAATTACATGTACATGATTTAGTTTGATGTCACAGGCTGTCATCAGCTGTATATAAACATTCTGTTATGATGTCCCTTGTTGTATGTATAAAGATTAATCAGAAAATGTTGTTCCCTGATTTGTTGAGGAAGTCTGTGTATGTATGATGCATCCTTTCTAAAGCAATGAGAAGTAATGGGATTAGCTAATGATAGCATGACCTGCTTAATATGGAATCACTTGTTCTTTTTTGGTTATTGTGTAATTTGATGACTCAATTTGAGCTCATATGTCAATATATTGTCATTATTTTAGTTCTAATTTGAAATGATGCACTGTGTGTGGCCTATGGGAATTATAATTTTTAATTTTATTTTTGATACATGAGTTGCTTTAGCCAAATTTCATCAAAAATGAAAAGAAGAAAATTCTTAATTTTTTATATTTAATTTGATATGTATATATAGGTACTTATGTTATTTTTCAAATTGAGCTTATTCTGATCAAGTTTGGATTTTTTATGAATTTTTAAGTTGCTCAAAAATTGGGCCATTATGATTATATGACAATTTTGATTGCAATCCTTCACCTATTGTTTTATGAAAAAAACTAGAAAACAAATTACTCAAAACTCTTTTATGTAGAACAAAAGCTACATCATAGTATTTTGATTATCGTGACTGCGCCCAATGTTTAGTAACTTACTTTTTTTATCTCTCTTGCATCATGTCTGTACTATGCAATCAATTTTTAAAGTTGCATAACTAGGAGATAATATAATACCCTCCAGTCAAAACTTTAGCTAATTATCATTAGCATTTGTAGCTCATACCTTTTCAGTATGGGTAATGTCCCTGGTGCATCAAAATATATAATAAAAATTTGGATTGATTTCTTTTTTTAGAAAAAACTGTGGGCTATAGCCTTGGGTATTTTTCAAAAATTGGCTACTTTTTAAAAATGCTCGTAACTTGAAAATTACTTGTCAGAAACAGGTCAAACTTTCTACACAGCATAAGTACATCAATATGTATTAGAAAATGTAATAAAAATTTGGGGTGATTTTAGAGCCATTTTTTGGAAAAAACCATGGGCTATAGCCTTGGGTATTTTTCAGAATTTTGACGTTTTCTTAAAATGGCCGTAACTTGAAAAATTAAAGTCGGAATCAGCTCAAACTCTCTACGTAGCATAAGGACATCAATATGTATCAGAAAATGTAATAAAAATTTGGGATGATTTCGGAACCATTTTTTGGAAAAAACCATGGGCTATAGCCTTGGGTATTTTTCAGAATTTTGACATTTTCTTAAAATGGCCGTAACTTAAAAAATTAAAGTCGGAATCAGCTCAAACTTTCTATGTAGCATAAGGACATCAATATGTATCAGAAAATGTAATAAAAATTTGGGATGATTTCGGAACCATTTTTTGAAAAAAACCATGGGCTATAGCCTTGGGTATTTTTCAGAATTTTGACATTTTCTTAAAATGGCCGTAACTTGAAAAATTAAAGTCGGAATCAGCTCAAACTTTCTACGTAGCATAAGGACATCAATATGTATCAGAAAATGTAATAAAAATTTGGGGTGATTTGGAGCCATTTTTTGAAAAAAACCATGGGCTATAGTCTTGGGTATTTTTCAGAATTTTAGTGTTTTCTTAAAATGGCTGTAACTTAAAAAATTAAAGTCAGAATCAGCTCAAACTTTCTACACAGCATAAGGACATCAATATGTATCAGAAAATGTAATAAAAATTTGGGGTAATTTTGGAGCCATTTAAAAATTTTTTAAATGCTCATAACTTGAAAATTACTCCTCGGGAATAGCTCAAACTTTGTACACAGCATAATGTTTTGCTTTCCTCCTAGTCAATATAGGCAATGATGTATCATCCTCTTACATTCGTTTGACCTTGTCCTTTAAGCAAATATTGATGCCATTAGGATAATTAAAAAGTTGTCAAACAAATGCCGTACATTTCCCATTATCCTCTGATCTAATGCCACTCCTCTCTAATATGGAATTGGCTGATAAAGCATTGGTACATGTACTGTGTATTGGCTGGATTGAAGCCCTACGTTTAAAGGATACATATGATTTCTAGTCATATGCTTACATGAAGCAGATTCTTCCATCCTAATGAACCCTATGTTTTGTCTGTACTCAGTACTTGTAAGTATTCAAGTATACACAGTAATGACAGTATACTCTAAATTATCATAATTGTGTACAGTGAGTTTCCGTGTGGGCATGCACTTACTAAGCAAAAGCCAAAGAGAGTCAAGACGCATGATTAAACTCTGTCCTTGTGACCTCTTACAATTCATGCATGCCCTTCCTTAAAATATGGTATACTGCTAGAATCAAAACTCAAATTTTATTTGCTGACAACGTTATTGCAACAGTTTATTATTATAAAAATTAATAGTTTTCTCAAATTCTTTGTATGCATAATATTAATGCTCTAGCTCCTTCTAAATATAGTACTTGGATCTATTTATAGCAGGATTAATGACATTATTGCTTTTTTCTTATATGTATATAGATACCAGTGACTAAATTAGAAAAAGAGTTACAAGAAGCTACAACAGATTCTCACCTTTATTACAACAAAGGGTTGTAGGTTTTTCAATTGATTTTATTGCTGATTAATTTTTGTAACATTGCAATAAACTAAATTATTATTTGTAATAATTTAGTTTGCTATATTTTAATAGCAAAAAGATTTTGTTAGTTTTATAATGCTTTAAAAATTTTATGTAAAAATATGAATGCATTTGCAAATTAATGACAAGAGATCCTATTGAGGCTTGCCCCATTTCATCCATGCCTCCCCAATATCAGTTCAACTTGTGACAGCACATACAGAACCCATATCAACTATTGTCCTTGCAATGATAAAAATACCATTTTGTGCTGTGTATCATTATGAAGTGTCTATCTTGTTACATCACATAGATCTAACTTTACTTAACACTTTTAGTCCATATTTGTTTTGTAAATATACAGATGGCAAAGTATTGATCATCATACACACGAATGTGACAAAATGCTAAGGAGACACATTCTTTAATTGAGTTAGCACTGTGTTATCAACAAAGCTAATAATTCACATGCTCCCACCAAGAAAACTATGTCAAGCCTTCTCTTATTAAATAATATTATTAGTCTCTTTAATTATAATCAGTAACTGTGCATCATAATAATAATAATAAAGAACACAACAATAATGAAGGTTAAATAAAGAAGAGAGGGATTAGCATTATAATAATGACAGCCAGTTAATCAAGTATTATGATAATAATATAGAGGGGATAAAGTGACACAGTTTGTTGAATGTATAAGTCTATTATAATACAATAACAGCAAGTACGATACATAACAATAAACTTAGCAGTACAGAGAATCTGGAGCTAAGAGAAGAAGCAGCAGAGACAGCTCTTCCAGGAAAGGTTACTACCGGAGGACCAGTTGCTGTACTAGTCATTGGTCTTGTAGTAGGAGGTTGAGATGTGGAAGAGCTTATTGTATTAGGAGTTCCATCTGTTACTGGTGGCCCCTCTGTTGTTGGTGGAGGGGCAGTTGTGGGATCTGTTATAGGCGTAGCCATTGTTGCTTCTTTGTCACTGACGCTGATGTAGTTCGAGCAATTTATGAACTTTAAGAGTAACATTTTTTGATTATTACCAACACTAAAAAGAAGATAAATAGAATAAGAATTGAGCTTGTGATGGAATTACAATACAAATATGTAGTCACATACATGTCACTTGCTGTGACTTGCAGCAACCAATTACATTGATTGACACCACTGAATTAAATCTTTTACTTATGATTTGTGCACTGTTAGTAAGCTAATCTTTATTATCCACACATTCATCATATGCTGTAGCAGTCTCTGTAATGACTGAGTAGACATTGTATTTTTTTTGTATAGACTATAGAATACATAAAACACAAGAAAAGAGGCGCCAGCAATTTGATAAGTACACTACAGCTCATTAATCACAGTATTCACAGTATACATTATATTTTAATTATGTATATATAAGTAAAATTCCAAGCCCTTTCTTGTATCACAACTGTTATATTAAGTAACAGTTTATACTAGTAGTTACTGTCCTACTGTATAAGGTAGTGAGAGACTGAGAAGCAAGCAAACAACAGATGGATCGACTAAGCTCTGTACTTGCTAACTAAATTCATTATGCTCCATATCACGACTGTTTGCCTGTGCTAAGTTGGGAATTGGCATTGCAAACTGAGTAGCTAAGTGCTATCATATTCATTCACGACGGCATTCAAGAGGCAGCTATACTATACAATATATCCCATGCTACACTGAGGTGGGAATAAGCAACTGATGACCTACATAGATTATGGAGTAAGCCTGAGAAATTAAACCCATACAAGCATTATGGCAAGCTTCATGGCACCCATACAAGCAAAATTGGCACTAGGGGAGGTGAGATAGTTATGAGAATGCAAAAACAAGTACATGTGGTTAAAATGTGGTGTTAATATTGAATTATAGTAGTAACTCACCAGTTCATCAATGTAGTACAGACTTCTCTAGTAGCATTCAGTTCAGCTCTGGTCCCTTGCTCAGAGCAGCGTCCAACAGATCCACACAGGAGCTCTGCATACAGTGGAAGACATATTTGTCTTCCAATCTCAGTAGTGAATGTAGTCTCAAATTCAGACACGTCGTTTTCTACTTCTTGCAGAAGAACGTGCATCCATTTGGTGATGTAAGAGGTAGACCAGCCAGAAAGAGAGTTGCAATAGTTGTAGTTGTAATCGGTAAAAGATGTAACTGCATGACAGGATGTCAATGAAACTGTTGTAGAAGCAGATAGACCACAGGAAGGCTCATAATTGATGCATGGGTGGCTGCTACAGGATGAGGTCGAGAAAGAGACAGTTTTATTGGTTGTCGTCGCTTGGTCGCAAGGAGGGAATTCTTCCCTGCATTTCTGAGCCAAAATCCAATTACCACAAACCTCAGCCTGGGTTCCGTTACCGGTTCCCTGCATCTCATTACTGACCCCTTGAGACCAATAGCCAGCTATCCTCTTGTGCTTTATGGCCAAGATCTTGTCTGAGAGTAGAACGCTAGGTACATCATAGTTCACTATTCCGCTGCAGCTACCGAGTTGCTGGCTGGTTGGAAGGCTGCAGGAGTCTAGTGGGCCCAAATCAAAGGCGTGGGTGCTGACTGTAGATACAGGACTAGCTTGAGATAAGGGGAGAAGAAGAGAGAGGAGCCCAAGGCTGAGAATCATGATCATACTGCTAGGCTTTTTTGAAGAATATCCAGTTGCACGTTGATTTGATGCAGGCGCAGGCGATGGAACTCTTCTTATATAATTATCATAAAACCACACCCATTTTTATGGCGTTGCATAGCAACTATACAAATGGCGGACTTGAGCTCTTAGACTAGTAAATACAATTTTGCTTATTTTTGTTATTTTAGGTCATTTGTTTGCTGGTAATAGGATATTTTTTAGATCATGTCATCATCAGAGCTTAGAAATGACATAATCAATCATTGCTGTAGGATTCTCTCATCCTTCAGGCCTGATAGGATTGCTATTGAGACACATCTTAAAGAATACCTTCAACTAGAGACAAGTCTTGTAAGACCTAATCCAGACAATTATATTGTGTAATATAATGTAGATAAATGAGACGATGAATTTATAATAATTTTGAAAAGAACTTGTGACTGAAACTAGCACAATTATTGATAAAGCATATATACCCCATAGTATAATTGTTCTTCACATTCAAAATGACACTACTCACACTAGTAGCACTGTTAACCTTATATGTACATTTTGAGTTTTGTAGCTAACTATACATACATGCACGTGTGGTTCTGCAGTGTCACTAAAAGCTTATCAAAGGTAAATTTGAAGGGAAAGTCCACAATAGTGTGTTATGAAAATCATTACTCTCTGTTATTAGAGACAGCCTGGGTAAGCTGAGAAAAGCATGAAACCATTATTTGTAGAAAGAGCACTCTCAGTTCATTGATTGCATAGCTTAGTGTTGGTAGCATTTACTATATATAAGTACTTATTTATAATGTACAGCATAAGTACATTACATATCTACAGTATATGCATATACATGTATATACAGTGAGTGAGTGAATTTTCTGTTACATGTCTATCTCTATTTTTGCATCATAGGATCTGTCTGATAATGAGAAGGAGTTTCTGTCTGAGGTTTTTGGAGGCTGCATGCGTTTCAGTCCTTTACTGAAGGTACTGCTGCTATAGTGAGGGAGGGGCACACTTTTGTTATTTTATTTATTTTTTGTCCTGGAAGTGAGAATGTGAGATTATAGCAAAATATTTTTCACATTTTAACAACAAATTATTTTATCATTAAAGCTGTACCATTTATACAATTGTTTGATACTTCTACACTATGTGTACATGTACCAATGGAACTAATGGGTTTTTTGCTTGTCACGGATTTCGTGACAATGGAACTAATGGGTTTTTGCTTGTCACGGATTTTGTGACAATGGAACTAATGGGTCTTTACTTGTCACGGATTTCGTGACAATGGAACCAATGGGTTTTTACTTGTCACGGATTTTGTGACAATGGAAGGAATGAGTTTTTGCTTGTCACGGATTTCGTGACAATGGAGGGAATGGGTTTTTGCTTGTCACGGATTTCGTGACAATAGAAGAAATGGGTTTTTGCTTGTCACGGATTTCGTAACAATGGAACTAATGGGTTTTTGCTTGTCACGGATTTCGTGACAATGGAGGGAATGGGTTTTTGCTTGTCACGGATTTCGTGACAATAGAAGAAATGGGTTTTTGCTTGTCACGGATTTCGTAACAATGGAACTAATGGGTTTTTGCTTGTCACGGATTTCGTGACAATGGAGGGAATGGGTTTTTGCTTGTCACGGATTTCGTGACAATAGAAGAAATGGGTTTTTGCTTGTCACGGATTTCGTAACAATGGAACTAATGGGTTTTTGCTTGTCACGGATTTCTTGACAATGGAACAAATAGATTTCTGCTTGTTACGGATTTTATGACAATGAAACTAATGGAATTTTGTGTTGTTACTAATTGTCCTGTTAAAGCAGTGTACAACAGTACATTATACACCGTCTCATCACACATGCATAGCCACTTGTTATTGACACTTCATGTTAGGATTAAAAGATAGCGGCATCTTGTACTTATTTAACTACAATGTGCTTTATAACTTGCATATCTTTTGTACAGTTTTATTTTTAAATTGAGAGAGGGGGAGAACTGTAAGGATAAAGTGAGAAATGTGGGATGTTGCATTTGAGAGGAACAGGTTAATCATGCTGAACACCCCGCATGGAATATAGACATAATAATTATTTAATGCATGCCTACCTCTCTCTCCCTCTCTCTCCCCCTCTCTCCCCCTACCTCTCTCCTCTCTCTCCCCCACTTTAGGTACTAGTAGACAGGTATTATGCCAGTAATGTTGGATTGTGTCTTCATTCTGACTCTAGTCTTTATCATGGTGAGATAGCAATAATCTCCCTCCTTTCTTTCTTCATATTTACCTCCCTTGTTCCTATTCCTTTCTCCCTTCTTACTGTTTTTATAATGATAATAAAAATAATAATAATAATATTAATGTATTGTATATCTGTAGTATTGTTGTTAGTATTTTTGGCATGTATAAAAAATACATTAATTGTGTTTACTAATTTCAAAACAACCCTGCACTATGATAATAATGATTATATACATGTACTTAACTTAAAATATCATAATCCAAATACCAAGAATATGCTTCATTTTGTAATGAAATAAGGCCACATATAATAGGTACACCACCTGTATAGTTATCATAAGCATTATACTAACAGTCATACACAATGATACACTATACAGTCATAGTCATGTGTCATGTGTCATGAGTTTTCATTATGCATGATGACTACTGATAAACTAGAAGGGTAACATACTGTATGCAATGTACTGGTTATTCTGTTTTCTTTAATAAATGAAGTCACAGTTTCTCCCACTTTATTGTGTCTTGACAATTGACGTAAAAGGATCCATTGTTGCATTATTTACATAAAGCTCACCCAATCATGAGACCATCAATGAGTCAATGGATTGTTTTGTTGTTGACACTTTATTCATAGACTGGGAGCACTTTAGAATCTAAATAATGTACTCAACATATCATCACCTACTTCACAACATGTTGTAGCTCCTGGTTGTAGCCATAGAGAATTTCAGACTATTCATGCATGAGTCTTTTATATTGTATATAAAGGATTAGTATTGTGTACAATGTACATGTACAAGGATGATGATGAAAAATGATGATAAATTTATGGGTTGTTCTACTAGTATTTCAATACTATTTACACATAAAGTATTGTTTATTATTACTATAATAAATAAATAATGATGCTTCTCATACTCTCTTTGTGTGGCTCCTAATACTCAATTAATGCGAGCAAGTACATGTGCATGTACATGTACATGTACATGTGTGTGTGTGTTCACTTCTTATTGATTTTGTGGCTACTCTTGTTTAACCTCATCTCCTGGCCCCATGGTATCATTCATGGCTCATTTGTTCAAGGATTAAATCAGTTTGTCACTAGGAATTATGATTGTTGAATGGGCCATTGATCATTTTACTCACTCTCTCACTATCATTCAATTAGCTACTAATACACTCTTCTCTCTCCCCCCCCTCTCTCTCTCTCCCTCTTTCTTTCTCTCCCTCTCAGTAATAAGCTATTTGATATTACTGAGACTAGAAGAGGTTGGCATCCCACAGTTAAAGAGACTCCTGGAAAGTCAGAGCACGATCAAAATTTATAAAGTAACACATTTATGTTTTAGCAAGTGACATGATTTTGCAAACATTTGCAGTTCTTGAAATTTATCCTGAGCCATGATAATTTACATGGCTGGATCAAGGATGAAGTAGGAGCCATTAAAAACTCTATAATTTTACTCTTTCTCTCTCTCTTTCTCATACAGTTATGTAAGGTGTATGATGAAGCGTTTATTCATGATCATATCCTACTCCAATTGTCAAAGTGAGTCTGACAAAAAGTGCAAGCATACAGACATATGTACATTGATTGTAGCACACTGCATTAAAGAGATGTTAAAAATCCTTTAATGTGATTGTTTTTAGTTACTCTGTTTCTATATATTCTATCAGTGATCATCATAGTGATGTGGGCAGGTGTACTGTATATCAATAGTGAGGGAGGGGGTCTTACACTATGGCAGTAGTAGTAACAGCCAACTGATCATAACTTGCTGTGTCAGATAGTTGCTCTGTGCTGCCTTTGTTATTAGTAAAATCCCATAGTGATAGCTTAAGTATACAGTACTTTAAGTAGCACTCCAATTATATCCTTATTTGTAGTTACTGATGTAGCATGCACTTATGTGTGTCTTGATGCTTTGAAGAAAGGAAAGGAGACAAGAGTCTTCTTGTGTGGTTTGTTAATATATGATAATATTATTTCTGCTTTTCACATCAATTGGAGCCCATGTAAACAGTGTATTATTGTGTCTGTTTTAACTCTCTATGTATATGTATGTACAATGTACATATAAATGTTGGTATTTGTCACTTCATTACATGAGAGTATGCATGTACTTGTCATTAGTGCTCAATCTTATACTTGATCTACTGTACTGTATGTGTATGTCCATAAATCTGTTGTTTGTCCAACATTTTTATTATTTGATTGTATACTAAATACTGTTATTCATTGGATGTGTGAGTGTTTGTAAATGTTTATACATAACATGTGTGTGTGTGTGTGTGTGCCTTCGCTCTTTCTTATAAAGATTAAGTTACATTTGATTGCTCACACAAGCACTAGTTGTCATTAATTTGTACATGTACATCTTGATAGTGTTATCCCTCTCTCTCTCTCTCTCTCTCATTCTCTTATTAGTCATGAAGATCAATTGGAGAGATATATTCAACAGCTAGAGTCACAAGTGAATCTTAAACTAACAACACATCATTCCACCATCCCACCAACAAGTAATCGCACATGCATGTCATGTATGCATACAAATATACGTGTGCATTACATCATAGTCCAATTCTAAATTTATTCATTATCTGTACTGCATTATTCATGAGTTCTCAGTACTCTAAGTTAGTGTATTCAATGATGGGATTTCCTTTGCCTCTCCCTCTTTCTCTGGTTTCCTTTACTTTTCCTTATTGTCTCTTTTGACATTCATCTCCTCTCTCTCTCTTTCCTACCTCTACTTTATCCTCTCTCTCTCTCTCCCTCACCCTCCCTTTCCCTCACCCTCCTTCTTTCCCTCACCCTCCCTCTCTCTCCCTCACCCTCCCTCTCTCTCCCTCACCCTCCCACTCTCTCTCCCCCTCTCCCTCCCTCTCCCTTTCTCCCCCTCCACTTCCTTTAGCAATTAAACCATTCAATTTAACTAATCCCAAACCTCGTCTTGTTCCCACGCCAGAAAAGGTAAGTTACACATGTACATGTATTATATATGGACATTATGATACACTGATGCACATACAAGTACATGTACTTATTCAATGGAGATACTGCATTGTATAGTGTAATAGTAGACTTGTGTAGGTGTATGTACAAACCCTTTATTAATATTTGTGAAATAAATTAGCCGTGAAAACCACAGACGACCTGTTGTTGCTGATTTTGTGATACACAGCACACTCCATTACACTTACTACAGGAAGTCTAATGAGCTCAATATATTGCATAGTGTCTGTATGACTATAATTAATGATATAAGGATAATAATAGGAATGTACATGTACAATGTATATGGATATTATGGATGTACATGTGTGTTGTTAGCACATTTATGTTGTGTAGAAGTTTGAGCTAATTCTGATCAATTTTGGATTTTTTACAAATTTTTAAAGCTGCTCAAAAATCGGGCCAAAGACAGTGGTATTTTGTCAAAATTGGGCAGCAGAGAATTATTTGTTTTTAAAATTATTTCTGATAAATGTTGTGTAGAAATGACCACTCTCCTATTATGTGAATGATATTCTAATTTCTATACACAATCTCATTGTTATTGATAAGGTAACATCCCTCACCTTATGGCAGTTGCAATTGGTGATGTGCCTATGTATAGTGAGGAGGATGTTAACATGAATTCGACAATATTGTAATATGCTTGTTGAATAGAGTCAGCACCTTAGCTTCACATGCTCCTTCACATACAAGAACAAGCACAGCATTTGTATACGTGCACAAACAAATGTCCTTTTACAATTATACATGCATATCTCTCTCTCTTTCTTTTTTCATTATTTAATTGTCTCTCTTTTTACTCTTTACTCTCCCTCCTTTCTTTCTTTTTTAAATTAAAAGATACCTACAATTCCTCCTCATAAGCCAGTAAGTTTATATTAATAATTGTGATAAAACAGTTTGTCAAAATGTGTCAATTCCAGGTTCCTAAGAGTATGTACGTCCCACCTCTTGAATCAGAAAAGATAGCACTAATGAGAGACACACAGAAATACAGAGCAAAAGTAATATACAATTATATAATTTAATCTCTTTTATGATACAAGTACCTCTTTTTCTCTCAGGAGAAACTTGAAGACGCTAATTCTTCTCAATTTTCTTGTGCATATACTGAAAAATCAGAGAAAACAAAAGTGAGATTAGATCCATGTAAAATGTACAAGTACTTTTGTCTTTTAGAAAGTTATTCAGCAGATAATACAAGAGAGAGAAGCAAAGTAAATAAGTCGTAATTTTATTTATTTATTTATTTATTTATTTATTTTTAGAGTAGAATATGAACCAATTCGACCAGTCCCTGTCCCTGTAACAACAGTAATTAATAATGCATAAAGCATGTAGACATGAAACGCTATCACTCTAATCCCTGTTCATAGAAAGAAGCACCTTCACTGAAGCTAAACACGACGGCCATTTTGAGGGAAGGAGCAAGGATACAGAAATTGGAAGAGGAGGAGGAGAGAAGGTGAGCTAAAAATGTTTTAAAATTTATTGGTTCATAATACTAAAATTAAAGTGATGATTCATCAAAATAAATTTTATTTAATGCTTAATTGCTTATACTGTACATGTACAATGTAGGTTAGCTGGGCTAGAAGCTGGTGAAAGAGATACAGCTGATTATTTTAAATGGCAAGGGGAAGTCAAAGAAGAGACAGCAGCTCGAAGACTAGCAGAGCAAAAGAAACGACATTTAGTAAGGAAAACATAATAGTGCTAATATACTGTATACCATCATATCATATACAGAAATTCATGTATTAATCTTTATAATATTCTCTATTAGGAAGGACAGTTAAGCTATGAAGAGGCTATCATCGCCAAGCAGACCTTTATACAGGAGACCAAAGACAAAGTTGCACTCATGAAGGAAGAGGTATTTACCCAGTAATGACTGCAGTACTTGTATATGTGTATCTCTGTATAGTCTGAGCAGTTTATGAGAGAATATTTCAAAAGAAGGGATGATGAGAGAAAGGAAATGAGACGTCTTGTAGAGGCAACAATGCTAGGACACCAGAATGTAAAGGAAGCAAAAATTAAGCTCCAACAAATGAAGCAAAGACTTGGTAAGCCTGACTGTACAACATGAGAATGAAGGGATTCATACATTGTGTGTAGTTCAAAAGATGGAGAAAGAAAACCAAGAACTTTTGAAGAAAGCACTAGAAGAAGTTGGTTAAATTTATTATTTTATTTAATAGTATAATGTATGTACATGTACATGTGTGTGTAGGAAGAAGCAGAAATGAGGAGAAAAGTTGAACTGATCCAACAGATTAAAGCAATGGAAAGCATCCCAGTATCACGTACCAAATTTGTCGACTTGACTGAAACAGGAGGACAGGGACTGTTGTCTGAAATGTCAGTGGTTGAGGTACCAACAAATTTAACATAAGATCCTCAGCATTACGTTGCTATATTGTTATAGTTGAGGGAGAGACTGGCTTTATTAAAGATTGCAAAAAGCGAAGAGCAGGAGAAAAAGAAGAAAGGAATTGCAGCAACAAAAGAGGTACAGTTATGACTATTATACGATACTAAGTTTTGAGGCTGAGAATTTCTTCATTCGTTTGCAGGCTAAGGAAAAGCTACTTCAGGAGGCAATGACTACAATAAACAGACACAAAGAGGCACAGGCAGTCACAGATAAAATAAAGTAATTATAAAGCATTAATGTGTAAATGTATGCATACACAATGTATGTGCATATATAGCTGTATTGTCTGTGTCTAGTATGTGTATACTTTTACTGTCATTTATGGATGTACATGTACATGTATGTAGAAATATCAAAGGGAAGGATAGCAATAAAAAGAACTTAAGTATTGCTACTAAAGATAAAGAACTTAATGACTTGCAGGAAAAATTAGAATTGAAAAGAAAAGGTATATCTACATGTATTTTTGTATAATTAACTTTATTGACAATTTCATTGTAGAAAGAGAAAGATTAAGGCAAGAAAGTGCAGATGCAACAAGACAAAAGAAGGTATGCCATACTGTAGCTTCAGATACTATTGCTACTGTACGTGTATTTGAAGCAACTTTGAAAATTTCTGCTCAAAAACCAGGCTAAACACCCTGTACAAGAAGGGACTTTGGCCAATTTTTCCAAAAATGAAAAGAAGAGAATTCTCCATTTTATAACTTTTTATGAAACATATACATGTCCTTACACGTATGTTATGTTTTAAATTTAAGCTGATTCCGATCAAGTTTGAATTTTTTATAAATTTTTAAAAGTTGCTTCAAATGCCATGTACTATATTGTAGTGCTTGTCAGCTCATGAAGCTCATGCTGTTTAGCTCACTTAGCATTCTTTGTGGGAAAACCCCTGCCTCTATAACCATTCTCCTAGCAATTTTTCATGATGAATTATTTTAATTTAGAACCTTGCATTATCAAATCCTAGTACTCCACTTTCACCACTGGAGACACTACTGAGGTGCACACATTTCATTTCATTTTTATGTTAATTTTGATTTTTCACTGTAGAGCTGCTGGATCTACGTAACTAAAAACATTTTAATACACTTTATTTTTTATGTAACTGAGAGTATAATAAGTATTACAAAATATCAAGGTTAAATGTTTGAGGAAGTACTAATACATGTACTGGTATAATATCTTTGTTAAACAGAGCATAAGCAATCAAATGCTTTCGTTAACAGTTTTAAGAATCTTTGTGTAGAGATGCAAAATTTCTCCACTGGTATTATCAAGAATTATACGAAACTTGTCATGACTCATTTGTGAATAATAAGTGACAAATTTACCATCAAACAAGTTAGCAGGTGACAGATAGGGCAGTGGTAGAGCTAACACTTGGTTAAGCAGTATAGCATCATGATAGACACACTGCCACTGAGCATAAAGATGAAGAGCTTCTAGACTAAAGGCTGGAGTGCATGGAGCAGCAGATTTATGAAAGCATTTAGCAAAAGATAAGACAAGTGCCTTTAAATAAATGTCGCCTCTTGGTATAGCAGCCAATTTTGCCCAAAAGATGACAGAAGCAACTGGTAAGTGCCATTCTTCTTGAAGCAAAGACAGAGCATGAGAACTGCACATCAATGTTTTATATATTCTGTTATGTCGTTTCTCCTTTGGCTCCAATTTCATTTCTGATATCTCCATTGGGTCACTGTGACCTGATAGATGTATTTGATCTTCTATTAACTTTGATCCTTGCCTGATAATTTCTGTGACATGACTTCCCTCAATCAGAAGGGCGTAAATAACTAGCCTTATTGGCCTACTGATGATCATGCTAGCTGGTCTTGTACAATCGTCTGGAACAACACGAAGAAAATTGACTCCTCTGATGAAAACAGCTAGCAATGAAGGTGAAAACATGTAATCTTTATATTGCTGAACAATCCAAGGTGGTATGGATTTCCAATTATCAGATCCAAAGGCAATAGATATCTTGAATTCCTCGTAATTAAAAGGACACTTTATGTCGTACTTCTTCCTTGATTTCTCAAAGCTCTGCTCAAATTTTTGGAGCACTTCTCCGCCATCGTCAAGTGATGAAATTTGATACTTTAAACCAGTCAGCTTATGACACTTTTCAAGAAATTTGATTGTTGATTGTAAATCTTTTCCGCGATAGCGTGAATTTTCCCTAACCAATCTCTTGAGCTTTGTTTCCTCTACCAGATTAGGTAGGGTATCATTTCCAAGAAAAGCAGGAATGGCATAGATAAGATCAGGCTCAATATTTAGACTGGCAATAAAACTATCTCTCTTGAATACTCTTCCTATGACAGGAGAACCTGGCTGACTCCATGCAAGTTTAGATAAAGGTATGTATCCCTTCTGAAGTGGTGTGATGAAATAATCAGAATTTTCCCCAACTAGATAGCAGTCATATGCATTTGCTAGAGAGACTGCAAGGTGAGTATGGTCTCCATCTGCAGGATGCACCCTCACTTCATCGCTTTGGTAATTGTGAAGTAATTTAAGAAATGTCTGCAACATCAATAGTGAATGTACACTACTTGCATGATATGGTTCAACTTCTTCTTCTAGCTGAACTTTCCATATTGTGTCTTGGACAACTTGTCTCCTGTGGAGGAGCAGATCCATTTTATCTGTTTGCCTGATGCCATGAAAGACCACGTGTATGGGGCTTACATGTTGGGCCAGTAACGTGTTAATGAGATTTTCGAAAAAGTGCCTCATTGCAGGATACTGACCACCAAACTTCCAATCAAAATGACCAGGTAATTGATAAGGGAAACTAAGGCCATCAAGTACTATTGGACATCGAGAGACATTTGTACTCTTCCAGTGCAGGGGAAGAGAGTCCATGTATTTGGTTAGACTTGTAATCCCCATGATATTAATGAATAATAATGGGAGGGGCTCTAGATCTAGATCAAATTAAATAAAATTTATATTTTCTGAGCTCTACTAAAGAATTATTAAAAATATAAGCAAAAAAATATACAGTTAAACTATTATAATACAATAACATTTACTGGTATAGATCTATGTCTTTAAGTTCTTAACAGAGCATAAAGCAATCAAATATTGTCGTAGACAGCTTTAAGAATCTTTGTGTAGAGTTGCAAAATTTCCCTGCTGGTGTTAGCAAGAATCATGTCAAACTCATCGTTGCTCTTTTGTGAATAATACGTGACAAGTTTACCATCAAACAAGTCAGCAGGTGACAGATAGGGCAGTGGTAGAGCCAATACTTGGTTAAGCAGTATAGCATCATGATAGACACACTGCCACTGAGCATAAAGATGAAGAGCTTCTAGACTAAAGGCTGGAGTGCATGGGGCAGCAGATTTATAAAAGCATTCAGCAAAGGACAGGACAATTGCACTTAAATAAATGTCGCCTCTTGGTATAGCAGCCGATTTTGCCCAAAAGATGACAGAAGCAACTGGTAAGTGCCATTCTTCTTCAAGCAAAGACAGAGCATGAGAACTGCACATCAATATTTCGTATATTCTGTTACGTCGTTTCTCCTTTGGCTCCAATTTCATTTCTTCTATCTCCATTGGGTCACTGTGACCTGATAGATGTATTTGATCTTCTATTAGCTTTGATCCTTGCCTGATAATTTCTGTGACATGACTTCCCTCAATCAGAAGGGCATAAATAACTAGCCTTATTGGCCTACTGATGATCATGCTAGCTGGTTTTGACCATGTTGTACAATCGTCTGGAACAACACGAAGAAAATTGACTCCTTTGATAAAAAGTTCTAGCAATGAAGGTGAAAACATGTAATCTTTATATTGCTGAACAATCCAAGGTGGTATGGATCTCCAATTATCAGATCGAAAAGCAATAGACTTCTTGAATTCCTCGTAATTAAAAGGACTTTTAATGTCATACTTTTGCCTCGCTTTCTCAAAGCTCTGCTCAAACTTTTGGAGTGCTTCTCCGCCATCATCAAGTGATGATATCTGATGCTTTAAGTCAGTCAGCCTATGACACTTTTCAAGAAATTTGATTGTCAATTGTAAATCTTTTCCACGATAGCGTGGATTATCCCTAACCAAACTTTTGAGCTTTGTTTCCTCTACCAGATTAGGTAGGGTATCATTTCCAAGAAAAGCAGGAATGGCATAGATAAGATCAGGCTCAATATTTAGACTGGCAATAAAACTATCTCTCTTGAATACTCTTCCTATGACAGGAGAACCTGGCTGATTCCATGCAAGTTTAGATAAAGGTATGTATCCCTTCTGAAGTGGTGTGATGAAATAATCAGAATTTTCCCCAACTAGATAGCAGTCATATGCATTTGCTAGAGAAACTGCAAGGTGAGTATGGTCTCCATCTGCAGGATACACCCTAACTTCGTCGCTTTGGTAATTGTGAAGTAATTTAAGAAATGTGTGCAACATCAATAGTGAATGTACACCACTTGCATGATATGGTTCAACTTCTTCTTCAAGCTGAACTTTCCATATTGTGTCTTGGACAACTTGTCTCCTAAGCAGGAGCAGATCCATTTTATCTGTTTGTCTGATGCCATGAAAGACCACGTGTATGGGGCTTACATGTTGGGCCAGTAACGTGTTAATGAGATTTTCCAAAGAGTCTCGCATTCCAGGATACTGACCACCAAACTTCCAATCAAAATCACCAAGTAATTGATAAGGGAAACTAAGGCCATCAAGTACTATTGGGCATCGAGAGACAATTGTACTCTTCCAGTGCAGGGGAAGAGAATCCATGTACTTGGTTAGACTTGTAATCCCCATGACATCAATGACTAATAATGGGAGGGGCTCTAGATCTAGATCAAATTAAATAAAATTGATATTTTCTGAGCTCTACTAAAGAATTATTAAAAATATAAGCAAAAAATATACAGTTAAACTATTATAATACAATAACATTAACTGGTATAGATCTATAAGAAAAATATATGTCTTTAAGTTCTTAACAGAGCATAAAGCAATCAAATATTGTCATAGACAGTTTTAAGAATCTTTGTGTAGAGTTGCAAAACTTGCCTGCTGGTGTTAGCAAGAATCATGTCAAACTCGTCGTTGCTCTTTTGTGAATAATATGTGACAAGTTTACCATCAAACAAGTCAGCAGGTGACAGATAGGGCAGTGGTAGAGCCAATACTTGGTTAAGCAGTATAGCATCATGATAGACACACTGCCACTGAGCATAAAGATGAAGAGCTTCTAGACTAAAGGCTGGAGTGCATGGGGCAGCAGATTTATAAAAGCATTTAGTGAAAGATAGGACAAGTGCCTTTAAATAAATGTCGCCTCTTGGTATAGCAACCGATTTTGCCCAAAAGATGACAGAAGCAACTGGTAAGTGCCATTCTTCTTCAAGCAAAGACAAAGCATGAGAACTGCACATCAATATTTCGTACATTCTGTTACATCGTTTCTCCTTTGGCTCCAATTTCATTTCTTCTATCTCCATTGGATCACTGTGACCTGATAGATGTATTTGATCTTCTATTAGCTTTGATTCTTGCCTGATAATTTCTGTGACATACCTTCCCTTACGCAAAAGTGCATAAATAACTAGCCTTATTGGTCTACTGATGATCATGCTAGCTGGTTTTGTACAATCGTCTGGAATAACGTGAAGTAAATTTACTCCACTGATGAAAACAGCTAGCAACGAAGGTGAAAACATAAACTCTTTATACTGCTGAACAATCCATTGTGGTATGGATTTCCAATTATCAGATCGATAGGCAATAGACATCTTAAATTCTTCGTAATTAAAAGTGGGATTATTTACATCGTACTTTTTCTTTGCTTTTTCAAAACTCTGCTCAAACTTTTGGAGCACTTCTAGGCCATTGGCAAGGGATAAAATTTGACCCTTTAAGCCAATTAGCTCACAATCACACTTTTCTTGAAGAAATTTGATCGTCACTTCTGAAAGTTTTCCACGATAACGTGGATTATCCCTAACCAAGCTTATGAGCTCTGTTTCATCTACCAGATTAGGTAGGGTAGCGTTTCCAACTAAAGCAGGAATGGCATAGATGAGATCAGGCTCAAAATTTAGACTGGCAATAAAACTATCTCTCTTGAATACTCTCCCCATGACAGGAGAACCTGGCTGACTCCATGCAAGTTTAGATAAAGGTATGTATCCCTTCTGAAGTGGTGTGATGAAATAATCAGAACTCTCACCAACTAGATAGCAGTCATATGTATTAGCAAGAGAGACTGCAAGGGGATAACAGTCTCCATCTGCAGGATACACCCTAACTCCTTCACTTTGGTAATTTTTAAGTACTTTATGAAATGTGTTTGCTACCAGTGGTGGACGCGGATTCATTTCCTGGTGTTCATCTAGATCTTGACCAAGCAGTTTCTTCCGTATGGTGTTGTGAATTTCTTGCCTTCTGCCCTTGAGCATGTCCATTTTATCTGTTTGGTACACACCATCAAAGACCACGTGTATGGGGCTCACATTTTGGGCCAGTAATGCCTTGATGAGATTTTCCAAAGAGTCCCTTATTGCAAGGTACTGACCACCAAACTTCCAATCAAAATCACCGGGTAAATTATGTGATAGGCATTTACCATCCAGCACTATAGGACATTTAGACAATTTTGCATCTCTCCAATGGGTCCCGGATGAAAGAGAATCAATGTAACTGCTTAGCCCTCGGATCATAGCGTAGATCTATGCTCGGATTATGACGCAACACGCACAGTATATGTTGCTAGGAGGGGCTAATCAATTAGATCTATAGTTATTAAAAATGTATTATTCATAATTCATCTCTATCTATAATTAGCAGTAAATCTACAGTTATCTAGATACTCAGCTTGCTCTAAGAAGCAATAGGTTGAGGTGGAAGCGGCATGTTTTTGTTAACGATTTCAAAAATATTTTTATACAGGTGTTGATTTTCATCATCCAACTCTGCAGTGAGCATGTCAAACTCCCTAGCATTTTTCTGAGAGTAATATGTGACAAGTTTGCCATCAAACAAGTCAGCAGGTGACAGATAGGGCAGTGGTAGAGCCAATACTTGGTTAAGCAGTATAGCATCATGATAGACACACTGCCACTGAGCATAAAGATGAAGAGTACGCAAATTAAAGGCGGGAGTGTGCTGAGCAGCAGGAAGAGATTTGTGAAAACATTTTGCAAAACACAGGATGAGTGCCTTGAGCCTAATGTCATCAGGTGGTAATTTAGCTTTCTTGGCCCAGAAGATAATAGAACTAATTGGTAGGTACCATTTTTCGTTAATGGTATCTAAGGTTTTACCATCGCATTGAAGAGCTGCATAAATTCTATTTCGTCTCATCTCTGTTTCTTCTGAAACCATGTCTTCAATTTTCACTGCATGAGAAGGATTAGCTGGTACTTTTATTGCTGTTTCTAATAAACTATGCACTTGTCTGATAACTTCAATTATCTCGACTTTTCTTTCTTTTCCAACCAAAATACTATAAATTTCCCTTCGTATGCTGTTACTGAAAAGTGTGCTTGTACATTGTGAGCAATCATCTGGAACCACCCGTAAAAAATTTCTCCCATATACAAAAACCTCCAATAAACTGCTTGAAAACAAAAAATTTTTGTAATTATCTACAATCCATGCGGGGACTTTTTCCTTGTGTATTGACTGATGAGCAATTGATTCGCTGAACTTATGCTCATCAAATGGCGTAGTATCTTTGTACATCACATTCGCTTTCTCCAAATTATTTATAAATGTTTCAACAACAGGCTCTGTATCAACTTTGCCTTCCATTGCTTCATCTTCATCGTCTTCAATGACATTTTCAAGAAAACGAATAAGCTTCTCCATGGTGCTGCCTTTGTGGTGCAGAAAATCCATAACAAGACGAATACCCTTTTGGCTATCTCTATGCTCTTTGATGGCAGCTAAGAATAATGGGCATGTTTCAAGGAGGTTAGGTAGTGTGTCATTACCAGCAATTGCTGGAATAGCATAGATAAGATCATGCTCAAGGCCTAGCGCCTTCATAAATACGTCTCGTCTGAAAATTTTCCCCCAAACAGCAAAACCCGGTCCTCTCCATTCAAGTTTGCTGAATGGAATATATCCTTTTGGAAGGCCATAAATATAGAAATCAGAGCTCTGCCCTACCAGATAGCACGTGTGTTTTCTAGCGAGGGAAACTGCAACTTTAGCTACATCTTCATCAGCTGCATACAGTATTATTTCCACTTTACTTTTGTATTTTTCCATAACTTTCCTCAAAGTTTCGGTTGTTAATGGTGGGCGTATGTTTCTCTCGTCAGGCTCACTAATTACCTCACCTTTTTCAAGAGACTTTCGTATTGTATGCTGAAAACCTTGTCTCCTAGTGCGTAAAGCATTCTGCTTTTCTGCAGGTTTGGCTCCATCAAAAACTACGTGGATTGGACTGATACCCCGTCCAATTAATGTATCAAAGAAGGCTTCGATTGCATCTCTAAAAGCAGGGTAGTTCCCACCAAACTTCCAGTCAAAATCCCCATGCATGTGATAGGGGATACTGCTGCCATCCAGTACTATAGGACAGTTGCGTATTTCTACTCTTTTCCACTTCTGAAAGGTAACTTCAACGTAGTTTGTTAATCCTTTGATTCCCATTGCTAGCTTAGCTTGCTATGCTCGCTCTAGATCTAGTCCAGGGCGTGGTGGTGAAAATCTAGGTGGGGCTGGTTATTGGTTAATTAATAGTTATTATATTTTAAATGGCGTGTGAGTTTAATGTCCCTGAAGAATGGAAAGACGAGGCGAGGATGCATTTTCTCGTCTCTGATTTCTCTCCAAGTCATGAGCCTACCCTCTCAGATGATAGAGTGAAGTTCTGGCGAGCTCTCATTCGTTCCAGCAGTCAAGAGCTTCACAAGTGGACATTCACCAAGAGAGAGCTCTCGCAAAGACTAGCATGGCATCAGTTTGAGCCAAAATGTCTACCAAGACTTCTAGACGTACTGGAAAGAGCAGGAGAGATAAGGAAATTGGATAGTTATCGTTTTGATGAGATGGGATGGACCGAATGGAGTTTGAGATTAATGTCAACACCAGTGACATGGGCATGGAAAATGGCGTGGCAAAAATCTCCCGATCAGTCATCTCAAGATGTAGTCTATGTATTAGTGCCGGCCGTAAAGGTAATGGGTGTGGCTTGAAGTGACCAATCAGATGTCGGAAGTCACATGTATTTTTGTAGGAGTTATGCGAAATTGTAGTCTCTACTCATCATCATAATGTTATTCATATTTCTACTGATTGCCTCATGACACATGCTCAGTTTAAAGACCTCCTTAGAAACGTAACCAGTGCAGGAGTAAGTGATAGGTGCTTGCATGCTTTAGAGTTGCAACTTCTCGAGGGACAGAAGATCAAAAGAGGTCACATGTCAGCAGATACAGATGAGGTATGAATGTTTTGCTGATAAATTTTAGAGCATGCGTAGGTCATAGTAAAATTTGCTACCAGTCCAAGTGGTAAGGCAACACCAGTGAGTGAAATTGACATTGGAATACTTAGGTATAAATCCTCAGTTAAATTTTCAGTATAATACCTCTACTATGTATGCTTGTATCTATTATAGTATAATGAGAACAATTACTGGGATGCAAAAGAAAATAGACAATGGAAATGAAGAAATACAAAAGTGTGTTATTAGTTATTTTTTTGTACTTTAATTGTTGTTATTTATACTATTAAAGATTAAAAGGTAGAAGCATCGAGCTAGTAAGAAAGGGCCAAAAGAAAGAGGTGGCTTGACTCTATTTATTTATAGTTATGATGATTAGTTTGATTTTCAGGCCCTTGTTCTCATGAGAAGAATGACAGTTATTTCAAGAAATGTATCAAATTTTGAAGAAAAA